ATCACATATTTCTGCGCCCATTTAGCAGCAGATCCTTTAAGAAAAGACAGGGCAGTTGTAATCTTTTGCCTGTCTGTGATCAATGGCCACTGTGACATATATAATGCCAACTGAGTGGTGTAGACTTCTATGGAGATCGAATCTTTGTCTCCCGTGAATTCTGTGGGTTTTGCCAATTTGACTTGCGAAGTGTTTGGAGATTGTGCAAATCTCTCAAGCTTCTTTTTTAGTTCCTCGATTTGCGCGTTTTGGGTTCTAAGTTGAAGCTCTTGAGTTGCATTCTGTGCTCGAAGAGTGTTGTTGTGATTAAGGAGTTCTTGTGTCCTTATGTACAGATCGTGGGTTGCTATTTGAATAGCACTCTGTACGTAGTTGGTGAACTCTACTGGCATAGCGATGCCTTGTGGTCCCGGTTCCTGTTGGGGTTCTTGAGGGTTCTCGGGTCCCATTTCTGTTTCGTTAACTTCAGCCATAGTGCCAGGTGCGTTCTGGAATCCGATTCACTAATGACTGTTGAAGAGCGGGTCGTAACGGCTCTTCCGGATAGGAAAGATGATGAAAGGGAAGAGGGAAAAAGGATACGTAAATGGAAAGCTAAAGGGGTCCCCAGTACTAACTGGATCAACCTCGTCCTTTAGGGTCAAAGGGTTCTTTAATCAACCCGACTGACACTTCCCTAATTACTAACTAAAAGAAGTACGTAAAACTATGCTTTGTTAAGTGGGAAAAACACTGTGTTCTTCGTGTGTGCTACTTCTCAGTCACCGTAAGGGTACAGGTCTAGGACAAGTTATCACTCTTCCAGCCAAAGCTTACAAGTGCGAGTCTCACTAGAATCCCGTATCTAAATCCTTGTGGTAACGATGGTAGGACTATCCGCAGATGCGACAGTTCCACTAGACTTAATGAAAGGTTCCACGTGCGTATGAAGAAAGATGTAGGTATGAAAGAAACTATAGTAACGTTGAGCAGGCAGGGTCTTGGGCCAGCACTCAAAGTTGTAGCGAGACGCCTAATGTCGTCAACACCTCCATATACTGGCGGCTGCAATGTAAGGCAGGGCCTGGTATAGGACTACTAACTACTAAAGGCTATTCGTAAAAAGCTCAAGTGAGCAAAGGATGGGTTTCAGAAAGGTGGTCGCGACTGTTTAGGTCGGGCAGTGGAAAACGTGTGATGATGATGATGCGAGCGGTGTGCAAAGAGTCGGAGTCTCCTATAGTTCAAACCTAATGTCACAACCCAATAACGAATTAACGCTGGGCAGAGACTAGGACTCAAACAAGGTTATCGGACAAGAGGATAGTTGAGCAAGTATGTCTTGGATTGCTACAATGTAGATACAAGAGGTTTGAACTAGAGAACTATCGACCAAGACATGCTACCTATATACAACTATTGAAACGGAGATTGAAACTGAGTTACAATTACTAGCCAATCATAAAAAGAGAAAGGGAATCGTACCATAGAACATCGTAGAATATTAAAGAAGCATCACGTGATCGTATCTTATCTTATCGTATCTAATCTAATCTATTCACAATCAAAGAACTCGTCTTCTTCATCAGTCACATCGAAGACACGTGTCGTGGGCGCTAAAGGTATTTCAGGAATGATAGGCGCTTTCAGGATAGGGTTAGGGTTTGACTTAGGCGCTGTGTATTGGCGCTTAGGAAGATTCAGGAAAGAATAATGGTTTGTTAAAGGTACTCGTGACAGCGGACCGATGAATTCCCAACTTCAACCACCACAGCATCATGCCAGTGGCAAGCCCTTCAATGGGATCTTATAGATGGGAGAATTTGCAAAGACATCAATATAATCATGTATATCTTCCAATGAAATGGCATGATCATGGCCTTTCTCAAGAGCAGCTGGTGCATGGTGGAGATGACAAGGTTAACCTCAATACAGAGCTGGCAAGCACCTCCCTTCTACATCCTCAAGTTAACTATTCATCTCAGTATTGTAGCACTCTAAAAGGTACACCTGAAGCAAGGGTAATGGTATCAAAAGTCTCAAAGGCAGTGTGCTTGATTGGATTACCCCCAAGTTGTCCCTCCTCTTGCTCGCAACATGAAAATTGACCATGGTTTTTATCATGAACAGACATTTACATCACTTTGTGCTACTGGCTTAGCACTCAGTGTGTGGTATCTTACTCATGTGTTTACTTGGCATATAAAAATTGGCCAGTTACGCAAATTAGTATATGTAAGTTCATTCTGTCTATTATATGTACACGTGGTTAAACTATTACAAGCACATGATCTTCGAGTTTGGTGAACCTAACAGGGCCATACCCATGTGCATTATTTTCTTCCGAGATGGCCTTTCTGAAGGATATGCACTCGTGGGACAAGAGGAGATTGAGGACATCACAGGTCAGTTAGTTCAGTGACAGCCATTTCTTATTTTCACCATGTCTACTAGAGGCGATCAATGATGTCTGGTGGGACAAAGGTGTAAAGGGTGCAAAGCCTGAACTAACATTTATCGTCGTAGGTAAATCGTAAGTTTGTGCCATCTATACCCCTATCTCACATCTTAAACCAATCATGTTAGATGACGATGAAGCGACCCTTTTCCTATCTTCTTCATCCGCAGTACGTTCTCCTTTCTGTCATCACACATCCACTCAGCCACTGCTTACACCAGTCAAGGATTCACATCATTTCATACTAGCTGCCAAGCAGCTCAATTTGCAGCCTGCGCATCATGTGGGTGTAGCAAATGCAATTCAGCGGTGGCGACTTCTCTACGCCTTTGTGTCCTGTCTCATCAACCACGTGCACACCTCTTAATATCTCTGCTCCAAAACCTGACCCTTCATCTGGTATCGCTTTTCATCATCTTGCACCTCTGTCAGCACCTCACTTTATTCCCCAGCCAAAGAGTAAAACTGACACTGACACATTTCTGAAGAAACAGGCAGACACAATGAAGCGGCTGTGCATTTGGGATTTTGTTGACTCAGATGAAGACTGGGGTATCATAGAAGATCAAGACTCCGACGGAGAACCTGTACAAAGGCTACCTATGGTCTGCAAATGCAAATCGCGGTCTATTAGCCTAAAAAAGTCTCTCCTTATCTATACTGTGCTAGTGCCACAGAAAAGTAGCTCAAGGGATGAAGTCACTGAAGCTATCTTTCCAGGAGGGCATATTATTAAGTGTTGGGCACGTTCAAGGCCCATTTCCATTGAACTCCTCGAGAGTGTGAACCATACACAGTCACCTAAAGTTAGAAGCCACATTGGTAAATATATATATTCTCCCTTGTGCTGATAAAACTTTACTCTAGGCTGAATGTCCCAACATGAAGCCTGTGCTGATAATATTTCCTTTGGTATCCCGTGATTGCAATCGGCCCACCTCCTTTGTTGGTTCGCCTTCTCTTGTACCACAAAGATGACTCACAGGGTCCAGCGGTCCCAATCCTTTCCTCTCTGACCCTCCATCCTGCCTCAATTTGCATTCCCAGCCCCGCCCTTGTCCTTTTACCTGAATGGCATCCAATAATTTGGCTACCCTCTTCTTCAGTCCCTCAATCCCTCAATTCATGCAGTGCCCATGCAAGCGGATCACTTCCCTTGTCTGCGCATTGTAACGATAGTTGCAGCGCTGGGCTCAAAACCCATGTTTTTGATACTCATGTTAAACAGTATTCATCCAACGCATCCCCGACATTCCGATCCCGACCCCGACCCGAAAGTTTTGGACCCGACGTTTTCGCATCGGACTCGTCCTCCCTATGTCCTGTCCAGTCGTATCTACCTCCACTGGTGCATATTTACTCGTTTTGCATTACTGAACATTACAGACAGCATTATTACATGTTATCTACAAAAAGGTGCAGTACACATGCTCTTTTACATACATTCAGACCCGATTTTGCACTACTGTTTTTGCCTAATGCACCCCGAAATCCTACATAGACACTATTTAATATCTAGTACTTCCTACCTATTGCATTACTTACTTTTCCCTACTCAGTAGTAGGATGGAAGTCATTGGATATTAGTAGTACTTGATTGTATTGCAAAATATCTATCCGCTCTTTTTCTCCGAAACACTCCGACACATCCGACACTCATTTGACTGACAATCTGACATACTTCCAACTCATTCCTTCACCGTCCGACACATTCCCGACAGTCCAACACCCGACCTGACTCCGATATTTTCGGACCTGACAGTTTTCCTTTGGACAAGTAGTTCCTAGCTTCAGATTATCTTCCTATTATTGATAACTAACTATCTAAACTAATACCAAACAGCTACCCCTATAGGATCAAACGTACTTGCTCTGCAAGTATAGCAGACTAGGTTGTGCTAAGATCTACCTAAATATTTGTTGTCTAGGTAGTACGATTTCTGCTGAGCCCAGCGGGAATCTGTTTTTACAGCATCTTTAGAGATCAGATTGTCATTTCTTCCTCCGCAGATTTTGAAACAAATCTTTCCTCCTATAGTCACTGGTATGATTGCGGCTTGGTTCCATGCCTCAAAGCTCACTTATATCAGATACATGTATCCTCATGATCAGGTCATCTCTTGGGTCCTCTGGCATCCTTGACTGGGGTGGTGGTTCAAATGGGTGTCAAGCGCACCCAACTAGTGGGATCTATCAGCTATGCCTGACAGTTGGGTCTCCTCATGCATTACTGTGAGTCTGAAAAATTTGAATATAGCACATTAATTATGTTATATAATAGATGGGGCTCTCCTCAGTTCATAGGTCTCAGATTCCCCTCTTTTGTGAGCAGAATTCTCACAGAACTTTTTGGCTCTCCATTCCTCAAGAATGCCAGTATCATTGTTGGGCTTGTGGTGGGATGCATCGTTGCTGGCATAGCCGGATATATTGATGGAAGCACCATCATGAGTGCACCTGCAATCACATTCTTATGGTAATTCAAGTATTCTTTCATGTTGATATGAAGTCTCAATATAAGACAGGGTCCATCAATTCAAGATTAACGTGTACACACCAGCTATATTGCCTATGCTGGCAGTTTATGGTAGGTATATCTCTTACTTGGGACAGGGTGGCTAAACGAAATTCCAATGTCAGTGTCAGTGGCAATGAAAGCAATTGGCAATGTCACCACATCTGCGGAAGTGTCCCGTATCCCTGTTGAGGGAAAGGATTTCAATTCAAGGATACAAGGTGGTATTCTGGTTTGTCTTTTCATAGACATGCTTACCATTCATGTTCTGATCTGTGTTACAGAGCGATGGGATGGGTGGATTGATTTCTGTGCTATTTACTGTCACTCCTCTATCAGTATTTGCTCAGGTTTGACAACATGTTTTATCAATGCGGTTCTTGGTCTCATATTGTGGTTGACATAGAATAACAGTGTTATTTCTGTCACTTGCTGTGCAAACCATGCAGCAGGAAGATGGTGTTGTGCCTTCCTCATCATCTTCGGTTGCCTCAGAAAGATCTCAGGGTTCTTTCTCGCAAGTATGCTTTATATCTCATTGATTCTCTTTCAGGCACTTACCATTTACAGTACCTAACCCCATCTTAGGCGGCATGACAATGTTCCTCTTCGCGAGTGTTGCTGTCTCAGGCCTGCATGTCCTTTCCTATATCAAGTATACATGACGCGACAGATTCATCCTCACTGTAGCATTGTCGTTCAGCTTTGGGGACCTTCTTGTGCCCGATATCTTTACTTATCTATTTGATGGTGTGAATAACCCAAATAAAGGCCTTCAAGGGTTGTTTGAGAGCATCACAATTCTGCTAAGCACACCCTGTCAGTTGACAAGTTCACATATTGCTATTGTTGCACGATACTAATACTATTGACAATATTCTTGATATCTGGGATTGTTGCCTTGGTGCTGAACTTGATACTCCCACACTCTCCTTGAGAAGCTCTCCTGGTACTGAGTCTGTTGCTAATTTCTGCCAATCCCTAACACACTTCTAATTTCATTTAACTCCTTTCACTCGCTTTCCAGCCATTTGAACATGTTGTTCAGTTCTTGCTCTTTCTGCAATGCCATCAAGGTGAGCCAACATCTCTCCCATTTCATTGCACTGATTTGTTGTTGTTGTACAGGATGGAGGTTTTGGCTTATATAGGATCGAGCAGTTGTTGTTGCAGCCTTCCAAATGGCCTGCACCGTGTTCATTAGTCTGTCACAGTTAAGTACAATATACTACATACAATTGCCAATTCCATAACAATCAATGGTCCTGGGACATCATAAGAGTTAGGGAGTACCAACTAGTAACAGTAAAGTTTTAAACTAGGTGCAAAATATCAATGAGTTCCACTCACCACCTGAACGTTGGACTGATCATCTTGTCCATGAGCATTGAGCTGATGTTGAGCATTGAGACTATTGGATTTGTTTGGATCCATGGAATCAGTATTGTAGCAGTGATCTATGATTATCAATTTAAGTTAGAGTTTGGTGTAGTTCAAGAGTCGGCTGAGTTCTAATGCTTGCCTTTTTTGGAAACTATGATATGGTTTGGACACAATTATAGTCCAGCACAAATCTCTCCTAGACATGATGAACAGCGCTTCTGGCAAGAGCTGCTGTCACTAAAGCCCAACTGTATCTTTCTAACACAAAAACTATCTACACTTTCCAAGGACGAGTGCCTCACTTCACACAAGGTCTGTCATCCACATTGTCTAACATCCAACACTCAGGCTATGGGTATGGTACTGACAGACCAATCTCTGCCAGTAGCTCGTGCTCCATGCCCTCTTTACTGTCTGCATCATATTTGCAGCCAACCGTAAGGGCAAAGAGACCTGCACCCACACAACCAACATGCTCTCCATCATGCTATGCACTGTACTTGCCAAGAACCTAGCAGGCTGGGAGGTGATGGGAATATTTGCTAACAGGGTGTTCATGGTACAGCCTGCATGAAGCCTTTATATCTACTATAGATTCACTGGTGCATATAGGAGTTTGTTGGGATGGTTGCAGACATACTTGGCGATGATGATGCTCCTGGTGCGCTCTGAGAACAATTGACATGGACCAGTTTGACTGAACCTGATTTAGAGGCTCTTCGACATCAGGTTCTTCAACTAGCTGTTGTCTTCATGTGTAGCATCAGCCAGTTAAGCCCGGGTGCATATTTCCTGCCCCAAGACCTCTTCCCTTGCATTTCTAAGGTATAGGTTACTGTTTCTTAGTATTGCTGTCATTCCTGAGCAAATAATGTTTCTTGTGACAGGTCATCACATCCCCAGATACTCAACACTTTACTAATACTGAAATGAATGCAGAGAATTCCACTCCTTCCAGTGCCAAGACTGATTGTTAATGGTGAGATAGTACGTGTATTTGGACATGCTATCACATCATATGGTATCTACAGAAGGAAAGATTGCGATTACACGAGGTGATTTTACCCGATTACTTACTCTTAATGTCTGACACGGTATTCTTACTCAGAATATGATTGGCTTGAATTGTGGAAGGCTGTTGTTGACTTACTTGGGTTCCTTTCCAGCAAGCTAGACAGTTTGGTGACCACCGGAGGTATTGAGCATCTAGTCCAGGAGGTATGAGAATTTTGATGGACATTTGAAGTGAACTTGACCGTATTTGGCAGACTATCCAGCTACTTGACCTTGCTTTGTGCAAAGCAGATCCATTTCTGCCCACACTGACTGCTATTCATGAGTTCATCGTAAGTCAAAAATAAAAATAACTAAATGTCACAAATTGATAGGAGTCTTTCAGTATGAAGTTGTTCGCTCCTCTGCGGTGATTAGGAAGCAAATGCAGCTTTTATAATTGCTAGGACAACCCACATCCATAGATCGTGGGGCATCACACGCATCCAAAGCACTGTCTTGTGTTTTTTCCACAGCTACTTCCTATGAGGGGAAACTAACTTCTTCCAGTACATGCAGTGCCAAGGACACATTTCGGACTGTTTCAAAAGACATTGAGCACACAATGCGCACAATGGGGATGACACAGACCCACCGTACACCTGCCCTACATATTCTTTCTCACTAAATGCTGACCCTAATGATTAATGAAAGGAAACACATGGAGGATGTCATCAGTTTCATTTGTACCATCTGTGTAGATGGCCTGGCTTCGATGTTATTGTTGTGTTCTGCTACAATTTGTATATTATATTTTTTATTTTGAATCCAATTTATGTCCTATCGAGAGTTGTACTCTACATAGGACAGTACTATCTAGTTGTATATTATCTTGTCATATGATAACTGTACTGAGCAATTAATACACATTTCTGTAAGAATGGCAACCTTCTTACAATACCTTATCCTGTCATACCATTCTGCTAAAATTTGTATATTATCTTGTCATATGATGATCGTAATGAGGAATTACTACACATTTCTGTCAGAGTTGCGACCTTCTTATAATACCTTATCTTGTCATGCCATTCTGCTAAAGTTTATATATTATCTTGTCTTATGATGACCATACTGAGGAGTTAATACACATTTCTGTCAGAGTTGTCACCTTCTTATAGTACCTTATCCTGTCACACTACTTTGCTCATGCCTGTACATCATTTTATATTATCATATAACCACACACAATATGATAAACTTTTGGTCTAATTTTGTCAACCCTATCTACAAAAATAATGTTCTCCCCAATTTCCTGATGCAGTACTCAAATTAGAATACAGCTTCCACTCATTAGATATACACAAAATCTCCAGAGCATTCGAAACAAGATACAAATTAACTTTCGCTCACTTGGCAAATGCATCAGGGCCGCTGTACAAGGCAACAGCATTTTCGCACGGATTCCCAATTGATGTATAGCAGATAATCATTAGATATTTACACCATACAGTGTTAAAATGTTAATTAGTATATACATCAGGAAACACCTCCCCTGGGAATTACCCATATATCCACAACATTACATAGTTTTACTCAACTTTACATTGTTTTGCTCGACTTTACTCAGTTTTTTCAGTTATTACCATGTAAAACAACATTTTTACAATGTGTGTCCTATCCTACATTGAAATAAGTGTACATGTCTTTGAAAACATTCAAAAGAAATGAAGGGCATGCATTAAGAACATCTAAACTCATCCACTCTGCAGGAACAGCTCCTCCCCACTTAGGCAATAAGTGAGCACTTCGACAAATCAAAGATACGGGCACAATTGACACTTGGCGTTTGCCATCGCGAACCACCTGCCTGACCTTATACAACCCAGACTGTGGATCTGGTAAAGCACTGAAGGCTGAAAACCATTCGACATAGGCGAGATGCTGAGGTGGAGGGTTCTGAGGGTCAAAGTACCATTTTAATACTGTTTTGTGGTAAAGTGAAGACTGCGTGAACCTGCACAACACGTAAATCTAAACAACTATTTTATATCAGCAAAGGATCCAGCGGACTCAAACAGGTGTCACCTTGTATAGATTTGGGAGGCGCATCAGGATTGCACACCTGTATAAGGCATGTATCCAAGCGAGCGGCTTTGACAACGCGACCTTTGCTGTTCTTCACCACTGGCTGAGCATGTATGGAGTTGAGAGTTTTGGTCGCATGTATCTCATTGTTCCAGAATTTGATTCGGTGGAAGACAGTTACGGAGTCGCAGGGCAGATGAATGTTCACTGCACAATCCTCAATTTGTTGAAAGGACAGTCTTGGGTGATTGTATTGGACAATAAATCTCGCCAATGCTGAAATAAAATGAGTGGCGTCATGTGAAGATAAAGAAGTGATTTCTTGGAATGGAACCAACTTGCATGATGGGTGATGAGTCATCTTGATGCAAAAGAGGCATGTGAGGTCTGGAGGTTGCCAGTGTTCAGCAGGAGAAACTGCAATGACATTTTCTGTGTTGGTCATGCTCAAATTGTGGCGCCATAGGACAAAATTTGCATGCTGCAAGACCTTCTCCTTGCATTCAAGCCACTTCGTCATCTGCCAAAATTTGTCTTTGTGATTGGTGGCAGCATAAGCATGTTTTCCAAAGTCAATATGAAGCCTCTCAGTGGCCTCCATGTTAAAATTGTCTGTCATGCCAAACAATTCGATTAATTCAGCATAGTGCTGAAGAAAGTGGAGCTTTGGTATATTGAAGTTGTTGTGGATGCCAAGGTCTTCAAAGACACCTTTATTTGCATGGAATTCATCCAGTGCCATTTGAAGTGCATCAATTGATGAATTGGAGTGAACAGGGAGCTGAGCAAAGTAAAGGAAGTCTAGAAGGGACCGAGTTGCATGCACTAGTCTTGCTGGAGATGCATTTCCTGGCAGCTGCACATCAATGATGAGGCCAAGTAAGAAGCGTGACATCTGCTTGTGCTCTGTACTGCTGACTCAGCTCAATGTTGTGATCCCTTTCTGGAAAGCATGCATGGAATGATTGGGTGGAAGGCAGTGAACTCGTGCATCTATCTCTGCAGCCCCAACAACCTCAGTGACCCAGCTAATCATGTGCTTCATTATCCCTTGGTAAAGTTGATGCAAAATATCGGGTATTATAGATCGGAAGATATTGAGGTACAGAAGATCTTCCCAGAACGGATGCTGAGGTGGTTTAATTTGAACACCATTGCAGGCTTGGGTATACTATGGGGATCCAAGAAGTTCGAGTGCATCCAAAATTGCATCAAGATCACGTAGTTCATGTTGAGAGGGGTGTTCGCCAAGCTCATTGCGGGGACAAGTGTAGATGGAACAGTCTCCATTTATCGTCCCAGTGACAAGACACTGCTCAGGGTAATCCCCAATAAAGGCTGCAAAGATTGGATGACAGCATTGCATGATGCTGTCACCACTCATCATTACAATGCCATCCACACCAGCTAACTTCAATGGCTCCACAATGCATGACATACATGCATGGAAGAGATTGGCCAAGGTCCGACGCTGTGATGCTTTGTTAGCAATTTGTGTGAGACACGTTGTTGACAGATATGCTAGGAGAATTTGACCTCGGTGGGAGGGCTTGCATTGGATGCACTTTGGTAAATTGCCGATCGTAAGATAAACAGGATAAGCAGTTTTATTTCAGAATAAAGTGATCTGTGTTTTGTCAGATGAAATGATGATGGGAATTATTGTGGCCCCTGGTTTTGATTGTTCCAAGACTTCCTACAGTCAAACATGAGCCAGCGACTGAGTATGATAGACATAGAACACATACTTGGATTGCCCACCACCATTCACCTATGCACATGTCATGATACAGATATTGAGTCTTGCCTGCATTCACATAATGTCTCTCTGGTGTGAAAGACAGGTATTGTGCATGCTCAGGGTCACCATACAGAGCTCAAACACATTCCAGTATATCTCGTGAGAATAGGTCATACATTTAGCCAGCTACACAGGCTTCATGATAAGTGAAAGCAGGTCAACATGATGGAATTTTGGTATTGATAATCTTGTTGAGTTCAATTGAGTTCTTGTATGACAGACCAAGTGCTTCATGGACCTGATATGATGTCAGAACGTCAAAATGCTAAATAGATTCATCATACATACACCTTCGATTGCTAGGAGATCGGTAAATGCAGTTGATCCCAGACCTTGTACTTTTGCCCAGTGTGCAACTTCCCAGTCCATCTGAGAATTAAATGGAGCCCAGGGATTGGCTGCGCTTCCCTCCACATGTAAGGCTAACTATGAGTTTGATTGGGATTGTCGATTGAAACGAGTGGAGGAACAATTGTGTTGGGACGGTAGAGGTTGAACGAGACAGGTTGCATTTGAACGATAGGACTTTCTGACGGACTGTGTGCACCTATGGCCACAGTGTGCATTTCTGTGTATGGGTCGATGTATGAAATTATTGAGGCTATCATGCTAACATTGACAGCATGGACCAGAGGACTTCTGGAGGTGTTGAAGGTAGGATCCTCTTTGAGGTAAATATTCATGGCAGCCTGCGCATTGAAACACCATAGTGGTTGCACTAAAAATAGTGTACAGAGAGAAAGGCTAACTGAAAAGGAAAAGGCTGAGGAAATGTTACAGCCAACAAGGTTCAACAGACCCACAAGGTTGAAGTAACCCTGGTCGGTTCTTGAACTTGCCAACTAGCCTGTCGCATTTTTGCCTTTCTTCTTGCAACGCCCATGCCCACTTCCATCAACATTCGTTTGGACCTGCCCGTGCCTGCCTCTGTCAACATTCACTTGGAGCCCACCTCCATCAACGTTCACTTGGACCAATATGGCTGTATGAAAGCAGTCAAAAGCTGCTACCGAACAGTTGAGGGAAACCCGCAAAGCCAGAATGTGAGCCCAACTTGAAAATGTCTCTGTTGCAGATACAGCTGATAGTATGGAGTTAGATGAGCCTGGTACAGGACAACATGAGGGCATATGATGTATACCTTTTATGATTAACACTGATAAAAAAATTTAACAGCAGCTTGTGCAGCCAGAACTGTAGTGCTGACAAGACCCAGTCAGTACAAATTCATAATAGCAGCAACAAGATATATACTCAGATGTTCCCAGATCACCCTATGAAATACAAACGAGTTAGAAAAGAGCCAGTCAACATGGAAGAACCAACCAGCACAGTACAAGCACCAGCATCATTGCTGAAGGGCAAGTGCAAACACACTAATAGTGTGGTAGAAGGTCAGAGCAGAACTTAAGAGCCGTAATTCTGTTTACCTTCAAGTTTTAACATAGTCCGGAAAGCATCAAATGCAAGCAAAGTTCAACCATCAGAGGCACTGCATCAGTGTGAAGTCAAGAAGGTCAAGTTAATGCCTAAGCTTAGTGAGCCCAATCAGTAATCCCACAACACAATAACAACTAAAAATGGATAGGCAGGACTTATTCTGCACCAAATCCACTTCGAATCTCCAGCAGCACGTGCAGCAATCCCAAGGTCAAGGATGGTACTGCTGAATCAGATCCTGGAGACCTAGATGAAGATGGTGAAGACTGTGATGAACAAGATAGCCTGGATGATGAGGATGAGGATGAAGAACTTGCAGATCTCGCTATTGAAAATTTTGGTGAAGAAGTTTGTAACAAGTATCACTTGTAGCATGTGCTTAGATTGCTAACCTGGAGTCCTGGACGGGGAGTGCAATGGAACCAGAAGAGTACATCAAATCAAGTCAACACGGCACTTGATGATGAGTCAGAGGATGAAGACTCAATGGGGCTCGAGAAAGCAACTAAAATTGTATGTGCAACTTACACTTGGGATATCACTTGACATATTGACTGTGGCTGCAGCGCAAGTCAAAGAGTACTACACGAGAGAAGAAACTCCAGGATGAGGTCAGCTATCCAAAGCTCACTGACAGTTGAACTCACTTTTTTTTTATCTACTAGATGCCACATTTCGCTGATGACACAGAGCAGAAGCCTCTTACTGCACTCGCAGTCAATTCAGGTGCCTCAGATACTGCGAGCCTCAATGGAACTACCAGTGTGTGGTTGCCAGACACGGATCTACAGGTGACCATTCGTGGGAATGCTCCGTTTATCTCATCAAACTGCAGTTAGAGAAGGTCTGCAAGGTCATTCGTGGAAGCTATGAACAAGGACAGCGCATGTTTTCATGTGGCCTGGAGGATGATGTTGATCTCACCATTGACAATGTCTTTGCAATGACCACTGCATTTGCAACTTGTGGTACTGAGACACTGGCCTATGAAGCTCTCGTTGAGTCAGCTGATCATGAAGGTTATACTGGGGACAATGACATGGCTGAATGCCTTCTTAGTGACTCATGGGCTCAGTATGCCAAGCTGCTCATAGATTATGTGAGTTCTATCAGTGTATAATTGTATTTTTTTAAAATTCATGACTGCACTTTAGACTACACGCCGCATTCACCTCTGCCACAATCAGTTTAAGAAGGCAGTCAGTGTAGTTGTCACAAGTGTTCTCAATCTTGTGACCAATTTCACAGCTCAGAACTTGTTGCTCTTAGAAGACATCAACTATATCTACCCTTGGTAGGCAAAGGTACAGCATGCATGTGACATCTGCACAACCTCAAATAATTTTTTTCTTTCAGAAAAACAAGTATGAAACCTCAAAGCCATTCCAGGCTGAAGTGATCAAAAAGGGCATTTGAGTTGGCTTCTTCATTGCCAACCAATACAACGATCTTGGCACCAAATTTTGTTATCTACTTTCACCTTCGCTCTCCACAGCTTCTAATGAGTTGGAGGTTGTTAACTACATGATAGCCAGTGTTGCTACTGCAGTTTGTAAAGTTTGTTATTTGTTGCTGCCTCGGCTGACATGCACAATCTTAGGTTGAAGCTTGTATCCTGGACTTTACCATTGGAAAGAGCAGCAAATTTGTCAGTCCGAGTCACGACAACATGTTCCAAGCACACATGCTCCTCCTCACTATGAAGCAAAAGAAGCTGCTTGAGTATCACAAGCTAACTCGTGGTATCTATTGTGCTGTTATGTATGCAATTTTTGGATCTTTTGTTCCAATTTCCAACTAATCTCTTTCCGTTATAGTGGCATGCGCAGTGTTGGGTCTGCCCGACTTTTGAAAGAGCAAATCATTGTGCAGGTTGACTGGGCCAACATGGGCAGTGAGTCTGATTAGGTTTATTTGATTCACCAGCTTCTTCCTATCTACTATTACTCCTAGTACCGCTAATCTGTTCTTCATGTTCTAGTGGGATTTTTCCGCTACCTCTGATACACTCATTGACTGGCCACACAATTCTCTACAATTATTACCATCTGGTTACTATATCATATATCGAGTCTGGATGACAATATAATGTTTTTTGTTTACATTGGTGTGATATTCAATGGTCATGAATGGCGCTGGATGCTACAAACATTTCGCATTTTTCGCATTTTCCTCCACTTTACTGTGATGGTGTCGACGGGGGACTGCAGTTTACTATATAAATGTCAGTAATGTGAGATATCACGATAAAACCTGGTAAAATATAATAAAACATAGCAATCCACACAATTTTCGTGTCATTTCCAGGTAATACACAGGGGAGGTTTTTCCTGATGTATATTCATTCTTGCTCGCTTTGTTGAACATGTTGCTAATTTTTTAAAAATGCTACATTTAATTCTTACTCGGACGGTAGTCTTATAATGGACAGGCATCGAATATTTCAAGCAGAGGGTGTTAGAATTTTAATTAGTATATATATTTATTCTTGCTCGCTCATTGAACACATTGTCGATTTTTTGAAAATGCTGCATTTGACTCTTACTCAGACGATAGTCTTATAATGGATGGGCATCGAAGATTTCAAACAGAGGGCATTGAAATCTTAATTAGTATATATATCTATTCTCGCTCGCTCGTTGAACATGTTGTCAATTTTTTTAAAATGCTGCATTTGACTCTTAGCTTCAAAGTTGTGAATGGTACTTCTTGATGTCGTGGTTATGATCCATCCAGCTCGAATGTTAGCTTTGCTGGACATCAACATAGTCTTGATCATTTAGTAGGAAGTCATTGTTTGCTGGAAGATTGTGTCCTTTCCTCTTGGCTTCAAAGTCAAGAATGTGATTTCTTGGAGTTGCATTTATGATTCATCTAGCTCAACCATTAACTTTTCTGATATATATTTAGTCTCGCTCACTTTGTGCACAGTCGTCGTGTGCTGGAAGATTGTGTCCTTTCTTCCTGGATGAGAAATCATGAACCTTAATTCAATGTGGTGGCTGTTGATGCCTCTGGATTCAGCATTAGCTGTTGCTCTACCTTGTTGCTAAGTTTGAGATAGAGCAATGCAAGTGTCTTTCCATGATTACAAAATGTGTTAGAAAATCAGCAACTCTCCATTCCTATGTAAGGTCAAATATGACCATGTAATGATCGATAGCAGAATTTTGTTGATGCTTGTGATTGCGTACTATATATTGCTATCTATATCTTTCTAATCTGTTCACCAGTTCACTGATGACAATGAATTGCAGTTGTATAAAGACCCACAGGCTGGTCGAAGAGTGGGGGCATTATGATAAACATGTGTATGAGCAAGACAGGCCCAGCATCTCATATTTTTTTGCAATGAATGATAATGCATTTGACCTCGTCATATGATGTGAGTGGATGGTATTGATCGGATCAACCTTATTGGCGCATCAAGATTATGTTTGATAGATTTAGATTCCGACTGGAACCCAAGGTGTGTGGCATATGTAAAGATATGATGGTGCTAAATGTGATTTTCCATTCAAGTCATGAATGCATGACCTTCAGTCCATGGTGCACATTCATCAGTGAATAAGAAAATCATTAAAAACATTTTGCACTTATTAAATATCATAGCGACAGGCAGAAACAGCCAGTTTTCATCTATCGATTTCTTACTGCAGGAACAATCGAGGGTGAGTGTTTTTGCTGACAAGATGTGTGATCCATTTATATCACCTCTGGGAAGAGAAAATCTATCAGAGGCAGGTGACCAAGGAACCCAATATACATCAGTAAATCACAAGTTTACTTTTTGCCTACTTATATCGAACTTTTCGCACAAAATAGGCCTCAAGTAGAAAAAAGTAGAAACCACTTTTTTCAGTAGATCTATCTACTCAAATGTCACTTATTCTCCACTTTTGTTGCACTTATTTCTGACAGAGTTGCTTAAAAAAGTATGTGATAGCATTGAAAAAGTAGAATGCATCACAAAAAATGGACTAAGTAATATTACTGCACTCACACTAAAAGGTGCGGAAACAAGAAATGATTAATGATGCAGCTCAGGGAGGCTAACAGCAAGAGTGCAGTTTCAAGACATTCAATGCTGACAATCCACCATCAAAAAAAGAACCATGACTTCACATTGGCCAAATATACACCTATTTTTGTTGAGGAGCTGTGACATCAATTTTGCAGTTCACCAGACATCATGGTCGAGTTCTTGGGGTTTAGTGCTGGTCTTCCTCTGTTGATTCTTCTGCAAGCTTGATGTTGGTGTTGATGTGCAGTGCAAAGGAGGCATAATTGAATGAAAGAGTCAGTATAATTGACTACTTGGAGGATATGGTGGTCAAATGAGAGGGCAGGTGTTCAATGATGTACTATGAACAATTGCTGTCAGCAAATGCTGATAACAATTCAAACTGAGTCAGCACTCAGCCACACATTGTCACGCTTCGACTCTCGATAAGTACTTCCATAATTTCAGCTGCCTCTTAGATCTATTATTCGGCTAGCTCTGTTGACCACCATCTCCCGCTCTCATATCAAAGCCCTCTGGTGTGCTACAGATGATCTACCATTCAGGACATGCGACAGTCTGGACTCATTGAGGGTGGGTGGCTCCAGGCGGGTATTCACAGCGTGCGACTGAGTGCAAGACCATGCTATTTACTAGATACAGATTTGTACTATACTAGTTTAATGTAGTTACTAGTTACAGCCTGTATTAATACATGCTTTTTAACTTTTTCAGTACTTTTCACCTTTTCCACTTATTTCAGGCTTGTTACTAATATAAGTGCACAAAAATTTGATAAAAAGTTGAAAAAGTAAACTCATGATTTCCTGCAGACTCCTACCCAGCCACCCGTGGGGAGAAGTCCTCTGAACCTAGAACCAATACAAATAGAACCATACATTAGTCATCATACTATAGCCGAAATTTTGGAGGACAACTCCCCACGAGCGACTGGCAAAACTTGTTGTGGCACAAAAGTTGAACACTGTTTGTCTCACCTAAAAAATTCAGACCTAAGTATGAGTCAGCAATGAGCTCCCACCTCCCGCCCTGCCACTCCCATATATGGTCATGTTCTTTCGTAGTACGTACACATACACATTGAACTTGTAATAGAGCACGCAGCATTACATTTAAAATAGTATCCCTATGAGACAATGAGAAGTTAGCTGTAACCCCCTTCCTCGTGTGGTAGGATGCCTGCCATTCCTCCAAACAATGCTGTGGACAGTGTCCTCCGGCTTATGAAGTATCACTCTTGGACCTTACAAAAACAATCATGTCAACACTGCAGCAAAACTATCAGCCAATAAAGGACTCACTTCAGCAACATGCGGCTGAAATCTGCTGTCTTCTCTTCTTGTCCACTGGATGCCCCAGAATGTTAGCATTTTACCCGCGCCTGTTGGAGCAATGGTAATGACATCTTTCTGATCTAGTTGTGCGCATGCACATTCCAACTGGAACTTGCACGGTGCAATGTCAAAAGTAACACTGACAGTGTCTTCAATCATTGAAGCATCTGGGATTGTATATTGTAGAGCAGACATTGATCGTGTAATAGATTGTCAAGATAGATGAAGATACCATATATGGGAGTGGCGGGGCAGGAGGCGGGAGCTCGTTGCTGACTCATACTTAGGTCTGAATTTTTTAAGTGAGACAAACAGTGTTCAACTTTTGTGCCACAACAAGTTTTGCCAGTCGCTCGTGGGGAGTTGTCCTCCAAAATTTCGGCTATAGTATGATGACTAATGTATGGTTCTATTTGTATTGGTTCTAGGTTCAGAGGACTTCTCCCCATAGGTGGCTGGGTAGAAGTCTGTATTTCCTGATGCTAGGATTCTATTGGTTTAATGGAAGAAAGGTGAAATAAAGAAGAGACTATAGATCAGCAGTGTGATGGGCGATTTGGACAGTGGTGCGTAAAAATATGAATACTAGCTAGAGAGCCTATATGAGTCATAGGCTGATGGGGATGATCAACTTCAGGTTGATTTATGATACACATTCTGGTGGGTACCTTTTATGAATGCATGGACCACCTCCTGTAACATAGTAATGTCTCCTTCAATCCCCCCATAGTCAGCAAACTACCTTCCATTCAGTGATGAATCTATGTCAGCTGCCCTTGTCAGTGGCTAAACACCCTGTATTTCGCAAACAAAATATTCATCATGATATTGACTTCATTACACACTAATAGTACATTTGTTCTGCATCTGAGTCATAGTATGCCATGTTTCAACAACTGCTTTGGTACGAGAGCGGTGTGCACAACTTCAAGATATTCAAGAAATGGTGATGTGAACAATGAAGGACTTGCTGTTGGCCGCCTCATGGACATAATTCACATCCACCCTGGTCCCCCTTGCACTGGTCTTCTGCATCTCAGACCATTGATCCCAAGCAACCTGTTTAGAGCGCTGCCATCCATGTAGTACTCGGGGTGAATATTAGTTGCCGTGGCCAGAGGCACAAGGTCAGTGTTGATGTTGCACCACCTCTTGTAGTTGTGGATGCCTAGCACAACAAGGAACTTCTCCCTGGTACCGCTTATGAAGCGGAGCCCACCAGACATACCACTTCCGCCCATGGTGAGTGTCTGGATCGAGTCTGTGTTGGACCACCTCCCGTTATGCCACACATTTTTCTCAGCAACATCAGGAAATCATGAGTTTACCTTTTTTACTCTTTTTCCCACCTTTTGCAACTTATTTCAAACAGATCTCCTTTTTTTCTGGAAATTGACAACTGCTTCGAAATTGAGTATTCCAATATGTTTGTTAGACCTAAGAGACATGTTTCATTGCATAAGACCAACAATTAGTTTGAGGTGTGAAGTTTGAGTGACACATTCATGCTGATAATTTTCTTTCTTGAATACTCTCTTGAGCTACCATCTTGCAAATTGAAAATCCGAAAATTTGACAGCATGCTCTTATGATGATTGCTAATAAATCCTGATAGTCCAGTTGGGACCAGGCAGTAATTTAAGAAAAATAAGTAGATCCATTTCAAATAAGTGGCAAAAGGTGGGAAAAGGAGTGAAAAAGGTAAACTCATGATTTACTGATGCACATGCATGTCAATGCAGAAGCTATCAATCTGGCTCGGTCCCACTGTCGATGCTTTCAATTAAACCATTGCAAACAGAATCAGCCGCGGTGATAGGAGCACGTCGAAATAAGAAAAGTATACACACATTGGCAGTGTCGAACCCTGCGGGAGACAAAATGTAATCATGGCGGCCCCCATTGGAAGGTTATGGATATTTACTTCAAATTTTGACACTCGAACAAGAACACACATTTCGGCGGACGGACAGTGAGTGACTCAGAGATTATGAGACGAGGCGGCGACATACTATACTTTGACCATTGAAAATAACAAGTTGTCAACTTGAAGTTGGACACGAATCATTATGTAAGTTACCAAAAATATAACCTTCAACGCTTTTTGCTGACTCAGGTCATTTAAATTTGCCTGCTGATGCGATGTTATTCTCACGCTAGGACTAGCTGTGAAGGCGGAGTGCCTTGAACATTCTGAACGACAGACACTGCAACTCGGCAGATTCAAGTTTAGTTCCAAGTTTATGCAGGTTGGGCGTCTTTTGCAGCTCGTTTGACTGACAGTTGACTTTGACAGTTGATTCACCCCGGACTCAACTCGGGCCGACAGGGTCACCAGTGACTACTATAGCAAAAACTTATAGCAGTTGCGTGTGCAAAATGTACCATGGCCCATGTGCTCCCGTTGATCCAACTTCTGACAAGTATAGGCTCACTATTTCGATTACAATGCCATCTACCTGTCACGGCGACGTTATGAAAGGAATACAAACTGAAGGTATGAAGGACAGCCGACCACAGCTACGAACTTCCCAGCACTTAATTTAACGCCCAGGGGAGTCGGTTCGTGGAGAAGCCGGCTGTCTAGTAAATCAAGGGCTACCATGTGCTGTCACCTTGTTGAATAATTAGGATCTTCAGCGCCAGGTACCGGCGCACGAAGGAGACGCTGGCTGAGTCGCAAAACAAGAAAGGAGGTGCAACATACCATGCCATCCGAAACATATAAAAACCTGCTTGCTGAGACTCTAACTTCAGAATTCAAGCTCTTCAATTCACACTTCATCTCAACTACCAGCACTACACTTCCTGTTTAACAATCCGAAACAATGGCACCCCGTCCCTTCGTCAGGAATTTGACCTTCCAGTCGTGAGTGTCTGCGATCTCGTTTTCACAAATTCTTCAACCGACTCGTCGTCGTTTCGCAGCAACAACCTCGGAAAGGAGGTCACTCTCATGCTCGCTTGGAGCCCCAACCTGGATGGCCTCTACCAGGACGTCTTCCCGATAGTTTGGAAGTAAGTGTGCCTACTTCGACTGGGGGCGATTTTAAACCTTGTAATTTTTTCAGGGTCACCAAATTCGGGAAGGAGGGTGCGTCTTCCTGTCTTTTGCTGCCAAATCGCTAACTTACACATGACCCCTATTTACAGGTCCATACAGGGCTACCGCGACCTACACGGCCCAGTAAGATGATCGACCAGAACGATGGTCTTGAAAGTCGCTTATATGTTGTACAGACTCGCTTTCTCCAGAGCTCAGGTCGATGCCGGGAAGGTCATCGGCGCTGCAACCTCCGTCAATATTAATGTGAGCGACCCTCTTTCACTTATTGAACTGCTAGCACCAATGCAAGTCATGATGCAGATTAACCAGAAGACAATGCTGACTGAGGCCAACGAGGTCTATCATTTCTCTGTAAGTCTGACGTTTGTCGACATTCATCTCGACCACCGACGAATATCTCGTGTAGCCCCCTGAGTCGGGACCCCCTGGTATCCTGCAGGCCCAGAACCACACTGGTTCTATTCAAGAGATCGCAGTCGGTTTGTGACCATCATCGTCTCCTCTTTTTTCACTTGAGTTTATTGTCCACTTCCAGGCTTCGTAAACAAAGGAGATTTCATGCCCACCCCCGTACTCTACTTCAGCGATGTCGGGTATGTTATCTTTCTTGTATATCTTGTTCGGGACGTTCACGATATACAACGCAGAGATGGCAGTCGCGTCACAGCGAAGTACACTCCGGTCCTGCGTGCCTACATTACGGCCGACTATGAAGAGACCGCGATCTTACGAGGTCAAGTTGACACTCCTGCGATCTGGACGCAGGACCTCACTGGGCTTGCTCAGAACACGACTTGGAACCTCGCGCGGGACCCGAACACCGGACGTTACTCACTCACCCATGCTTAATTGAGGAATGCGACAACGGTAGCGCCTAATATCTGTTCGGTGAGGCCTACATCTCAATGTTCACTCTGCGTTTATAGTATCTTCGTTCAAACCAATTACCTCACTTGGTTTTGCTTGTTTATTATGTATTTCGCAAGAGTGGATAATTGTAGAATTTCTCATGGCGCTTTATCTATGTGTTTGAATCTTGAATTCTGTTGAACCAGATCTCTTGAGTGTGCATGTAAAGATGTTGGCTTTTTGAGACCATTGACCTATCGAACGCGGAGGCTCAGGTCCCGAGACAATTACCGGTAGCAGTAGACAGGGGTTATTACCTGTTTAAAAAGACGCCCGATTGACAAGTGAACATTTCAGGCCGTCTGCTCACTGTTGATATTAAAATTAGTCATAGTAAGGTACTGACCTGAAGTTCTTTAGTCTACCATTCACTTGATTGCACTGGCAGTCGTGATAATGGAAACCGACTCCATTCCTGATACGGCCCTGGTCAGCATGGCGCCGAATGGGAGGGCCTTCCACGAGTTGTTCTCTTCTCTAGATGTTGATATTGTACTCGGTACCAAATATCATACTCTGTTTCGTATCCACTCATGGACGCTCAACATAACATCGGGCTGGTTTCGATCTCTCTTTTCCATGCCTCGGGCCTTTATGCAGCTGCAATCCGTTGTGGATGGGAAGAATAGGCCAAACATACATCCGCGCAGTCGCTCGCTCTCAGCATCTAGGCGCCAGGCACCGGAACGTCAACCCACGCTCCGAAAATACACAGACGCTGGCCGACATGATAGATTTGCATCGCAATTGACGTGAGGGCATCCGGAGATAACCCGATGAGCAGCCGTTCGTGATAGGAAGCACGAGGGCATCTTGCCCGCGGTACAGATGCGAAGATTCAAAACTATCAGCTCAAGTATTTGGCGATGGATGTACAACTTGGAGACACATTCGTTGATGTGGGATTGGCCGACTCGGATTGACCTGAGGCGATGCACCAAGTGCCCTAATACTGGGTGCGTGTGTGTGGTCCTAAAACGAGACGAAACGAAGTACCATAGTCCACGATGAATCTGAGATTAAGTTAGTCGAGCAAATGCACTCAAATTGGAATTTACTCTCATCCATGCTCGGCGAGTCCTGCAAGGGCAGCTGCACATTGCCTGTCCTCTGCTACGCTTGTCAGAAAGCAGCAGCAGCAACACACAACCCGGCTCCATTTTCGCTACAAAAGAATCTCCTTCGAGACCAACTTACTATTAAGGAGCCGAGAAGGAAAACCTGGGGAAAGGTACGTACACTGCCACTGTCACTTGCGGCGGCAAAGCTTCGTGCACGCGACAACATATTTTTAGAACAAATTGACTGTTGTGTACTGAAATCTGAATGGTGTCAAAATAATGTGATTTGACGACATCAATGCACGTGCCAGCGGCGGCGACTCTGTATGAGTTCGGCCAGTGGGATTCTCGCAAGTCGAAACGTCCGTACGGCGTAACAAGACTCGGAACAACAGCTGACATGCATGTTCACTCGTCAATCGGGCGTCTTTTTAAACAGGTAATAACCCCTGTCTACTACTACCGGTAATTGTCTTGGGACCTGAGTTTCCGCGTCAATGTTCGATTGGTCAATGGTCTCGAAAAGCCAACATCTTGACATGCACGAGAGGTCTTGTTCAACAAAATTTAAGATTCAAACACATAGATAAAGCGCCATAAGAAATTCTACAATTATCCACTCTTGCGAAATACATAACAGACAAGCAAAACCAAGTGAGGTGATTGGTTTGAACGAAGATACTATAAAAGCAGAGTGAACATTAAGATGTAGGCCTCACCGAACAGATATTGCGTACCGTTGTCGCATTCCTCAATTAAGCATGGGTGAGTGTGTAACGTCCAGTGTTCGGGTCGCGCGCGAGGTTCCAAGTTGTGTTCTGAGCAAGTCCAGTGAGGTCCTGCGACCAGATCGCAGGAGTGTCGACTTGGCCTCGTAAGATCGCGGTCTCTTCATAGTCCGCTGTAATGTAGGCACGCAGGACCGGAGTGTACTTCGCCGTGACGCGACTGCCATCTCTGCGTTGTATATTGTGAACGTCCTGAAGGAGAAATACAAGAAAGATGACATACCCAACATCGTTGAAGTAGAGTACGGGAGTGGGCATAAAGTCTCCTTTGTTTACGAAGCCTGGAAGTGGACAATAAATTCAAGTGAAAAAGAGGAGAAGATGATGGTCACAAACCGACTGCGATTTCTTGAATAGCACCAGTGTGGTTCTGGGCCTGCAGGATGCCAGCGGGTCCCGACTCAGGGGGCTACACGAGATATTCGTCGGTGGTCGAGATGAATGTCGACAAAAGTCAGACTTACAGAGAAATGATAGACCTCGTTGGCCTCAGTCAGCATTGTCTTCTGGTTGATCTGCATCATGACTTGCATTGGTGCTAGCAATTTAATAAGTGAAAGAGGGTCGCTCACATTAATATTGACGGAGGTTGCAGCGCTGATGACCTTCCCGGACTCGACCTGGACTCTGGAGAAAGCAAGTCTGTACAATATATAAGCGACTTTCGACACCATTGTTCTCATCAAACCATCTTACTGGGACGTGTAGGTCGCGGTAGCCCTGTATGGACCTGTAAATAGGGGTCATGTGTAAGTTAGCGACTTGGCAGCAAAAGATAGGAGGACACACCATCCTTCCCGAATTTGGTGACCCTGAAAAAATTACAAGGTTTCAAATCATCCAGAGTCGAAGTAGGCACACTTACTTCCAAACTATCGGGAAGACGTCCTGGTAGAGGCCATCCAGGTTGGGGCTCCAAGCGAGCATGATAGTGACCTCCTTTCCGAGGTTGTTGCTGCGAAACGACGACAAGTCGGTTGAAAATTTTGTGTAAACGAGATCGCAGACACTCACGACTGGAAGGTCAAATTCCTGACGAAGGGACGGGATGCCATTGTTTCGATTGTTAAACACGAAGTGTAGTGCTGGTAGTTAAGATGAAGTGTGAATTGAAGAGCTTGAATTCTGAAGTTAGAGTCTCAGCAAGCAGGTTTTTATATGTTTCGGATGGCATAATATGTTGCACCTCCTTTCTTGTTTTACGACTCAACCAGCGTCTCCTTCGTGCGCCGGTACCTGGCGCTGAAGATCCTAATTATTCGGCAAAGTGATAGCATATGATGGCCCTTGATTTACTAGACAGCTGGCTTCTCCACGAACCGACTCCCCTGGGCGTTCAATTTGGTGCTGGGAAGTTCGTAGCTGTGGTCGGCTGTCCTTCATACCTTCAGTTTGTATTCCTTTCATAACGTCGCCGTGACAGGTGGATAGGGATTAGCGCCGAGTACCAAATACTGGGATCTGGTCTGCCTGCTCAGGTAGATGACATTGTAATCGAAATAGTGAGCCTATACTTGTCAGAAGTTGGATCAACGGGAGCACATGGGCCATGGTACATTTTGCACACGCAACTGCTATATGTTTTTGCTATAGTAGTCAGTGACCCTGTCGGCCCGAGTTGAATCCGGGGTGAATCAACTGTCAAAGTCAAATGTCAGTCAAACGAGCTGCAAAAGACGCCCGACCTGCATAAACTTGGAACTAAACTTGACTCTGCCGAGTTGCAGTGTCTGTCGTTCAGAACGTTCAAGGCACTCCGCCTTCACAGCTGGTCCTAGAATAACATCGCATCAGCAGGCAAATTTAAATGGCCTTCATCCGAGTCAGCAAAAAGCGTTGAAGGTTATATTGAATTCTTTGATAACTTACATAATCATTGGTGTCCAACTTCATGTTGACAACTTGTTGTTTTGGTCAAAGTATATGTCGCCGCCTCGTCTCATGTAATCTCTGAGTCACTCACAGTCCGCCCCTCCACACTCGATCCAGTGGTTTGGAAGGAAGGAAGGTTTATTTTGCTTTGTCGTTGACATCTTGCTGTCCGCCGAAATGTGTTCTTGTTCGAGTGTCAAAATTTGAAGTAAATATCCCTACTAATCTTCCAATGGGGGCCGCCGCCGCCATCATGATTACATTTTGTCTCCCGCAGGGTTCGACACTGCCAATGTGTGGATACTTTTCTTATTTCGACGTGCTCCTATCACCGCGGCTGATTCTGTTTGCAATGGTTTAATTGAAAGCATCGACAGTGGGACCGAGCCAGATTGATAGCTTTTGCAGTGACATGCGTGTGTGTGGTGGCACCAACTCTTACGAAAGGTTAGAATATAAAATTATCGCTTTTAAAAAAATCCGAAGTCATCTACACTCATCTACACGATGCCTAGGATATTCAACCGTACGTCTTCGTCCCTCGCCTGCTGTTGGTACCACAAAACTATCAAGTTTGGTATACAATACTGCGGGTGGAAATGCACAAGGAAGGCGAGGGCTTGGAGGGTCTTAACAGCGCAAGGTAGCTTTATTTACATTGTTCCCAAGCAGGTACCTCCTGACGCAGCCCATCAGTGAACCGGTATTCGGCATCCCACCGGTTGAAGCAGGATGGGCGTCTTGCAGCTTGTTTGACTGAACTTTGACTTTGACAGTTCATTCACCCCAGACTCGACTCCGGCCGACGGAGCCAGGACTATGGATATTGCAATCACGCGTTGTAAAATGCGCCCTGGCCTATGGGCTTCCCGTGACTGAACACCCTGTAAGTCTAGTCCCACCCTGTTTCGACCCAATGACATCTACCTTAGTAGGCAGATCAAACAGTGCTTGGCACTCGGTACTGATCCCTAACATCAGGAAAAAGGTATGATAGCCAATCAACATCAGCTACAAACCTCCCAGCGCGCATCTCAAACGCCCAGGGAAATCGGGTTGTGGAGAAGCCGGCTGTCTACCAAGTCAATGGCCATCATGTGCTCCCACGTTATCAAATAATTAGGACACCCAGCGTCAGGTACCAAGGCACAAGGAAAACGCTGACCATATCGCAAACTAAGGAAGGAGGTACAGCCTACTATATAGCCGAATCATATAAACGCCTCTTTGCCGAAACTCTAACTACAGAAATCAAGCTCACTCAACCTCCATTACTAGTACACTTTTTGTTTAATCACCTGAAACAATGACATCCCGTCCCTTCGTCAGGAATTTGACCTTCCAGTCGTGAGTATCTGCGATCTCGCTCGACATACAATTTTCACCGGACTCGCCGTCGTTTCGCAGCAACAACCTTGGCAAACAGGTCACGCTCATGCTCGCTTGGGATGCTCACATGGAAGGTCTATACAATGATGTCTTCCCAATAGTTTGGAAGTAAGTGGGCCTACTGTGGCCCGGGACAATTTGAAACCTTTACAATTTTTTCAGGGTCAGCAAGTTCGGAAAGGAGGGTGCATATTCCTATTCTTTTGCTGCCAGATTGCCAACTTATATAACCTCTCTTTCCAGGTCTATTTTGGCTTCAAGCAACCTACACGGCCCAGTAAGATGCTCGACGAAAAAATAGTCATAAAAGTTGCTTATTTACTATAGACTTGCTTTCTCCAAAACCCAGGTCAATAATGGGGAGGTAACTAGCGCTGGAACCTCTGTCAATATCAATGTAAGTGACTCTCATTTACCCTGAAATTGTTAGCACCAACGCAAGCCATGATGCAGAACGGCGAGAAAACAACCCTGACAGAGACCAACGAGCTCTATCAATTCTCTGTAAGTCTGGCCTCCGTTGGAATTCATCTCGATCATTGACGAATATCTCGTGTAGCCCCCTGAGGCAGGAACCCCTGACACCCTGCAGGCCGTGAACTACACTGGAACCATTGAAGATATCGCAGTTGGTTTGTGACCATCATCGTCTTCTTTTGTTTCACCTTACTGTATTGTCTACCCCCAGGCTTTGTCAATAAAGGTCATTTGATACCCACGCCCGTACTCTACTTCAGCGATATCGGGTATGTCATCTTTCCTGTATCTCTCCTTCAGAACATTCACATACAAAATGCAGAGATGGCAGTCGTGTCAAGGTAAAGTTCACTCCGGTTCTGTGCGCCTACATCACGTCGGACTATAAAGAGGCTGCGATCTTACGAGGTCAAGTAGACGCCACTGCGATCTGGACACAAGACCTCACTGCGCTTTCCCAGAGCACGACTTGGAACCTCACGCGCGACCCGAACACTGGACGTTACTCGATCGCTCATGCTTGATTAACGAATGCGACATTGATGCACCTCAATATATGTTCTGTGGGGTCTGCATCGCAGTGTTTTCTCTTCTTTCATAGTATCTTCGTCCAAACCAATGGCCTCACTTAGTTACTTATCTTCTTATAAGATTTCTTGTCTGTCAGGTATTCCGCAAGGGCTGAGAGTTATAGAGGTCCTCATGGAATTTTACCTGTGTTCCTATTCTCTTGCTGCCAAGTTGCCAACTTACGTATGGCTTCTCTTTCCAGGTCCATACAAGGCTACCGCGACCTACATAGCCCAGTAAGATTATCAATGGTCTTAAATGTCGCTTATATATTGTATAGACTTACTTTTCCCAGCTGAGCACAGGATCAGCGTTGCAATCTCCGTCAGTAGCACGTGAGTAACTCGCGCTACTCTGAAATTGCTAACACCAACGCACGCCATGATGCAGAACGGCGAGAAAACAACTCTGGCCGAGGCCAACGAGGTCTATCATGTCTGTGTAAGTCTAGCTTCCGTTCATGTTTATCTCAACCACCGACGGATATCTCGTTTGATTTCAAACAGATATGACAGACAAAAGACAAGCAACTAAGTGAGGCCATTGGTTTGGACGAAGATATTATGAGAACAGATTGAACATGGAGATGTAGACCTTACTGAACAGATATTTAGGCGCAGCAACGTCGCATTCCTTAATCAAGCATGGACGATCGAGTAACGTCCAGTGTTCGGGTTGCGTGTGCATGTGAGGTTCCAAGTTGTGCTTTGGGCAAGCGTAGTGAGGTCCTACTTTCCGATCTGACCGATGTCAACTTGACCTCGTAATATTGTGTCTAATGGCACAGTACTACGTTTCATGTTGTCTGAGGAAGGCAATACACTCCCAAATGAGACACAAAGTCTCGACCCTGTCGAACAAACAGCGCGCGCGCACTCAGTATTAGGGCACTTGGCACCCCAACACGCAGTTGCCTCGGCCAATCAGATGATCCCACATCAACGACCATGTTTCCTAGCGGCCGTACATCCATCTCCACCACAACTCCGTAGTACTTGAGCTCTCTCCACTTATGATGATCAATCTTCGATCTGCACCGCGGGAAAGATGCCCTCGTATTGCGATGAAAGTTTATCAGGTCAAGCACGGCACCTGTGCATATCTTTCGGAGGATGGCTTGGTGTTCCAGTGCGTAGACATTCCGAGCGAGTCACTGCGCTGATGCGTGTTTGGCCTCCTCTTTCCATTCACACGGGTTGCGGCTGCATAACGACGTAGAGGCTGGTCTAAGAGCGGGGGTGTCATGATAAGCACGCGTATGAACGAGACAGGCTCCGAGATTTCGGATCTTTCTGCGGCAGATAACAATGCATCAACCTCGTCATACCATGTCAGTGTATTTATCGGCAGATCGATGACCTCGGTGTGATTCGGAACTTCAAACTGTAAGATTTCGAACATATACCATAAAGCCACAAAAGAAAATTTACGTCTTTGCGAAATACATGACAGACAAGCGATCTTATAAAAAGGCAAGCAACTACGTGAGGCCATTGGTTTGGACGAAGATACTATGGAAGCAGATTAGACACCAAGACCCCACAGGACAAATTTTAGGCGCACCGATGTCGCGTTCCTTAATCAAGCATGGGTGATTGTGTAACGTCCAGTGTTCGCGTCGCGCGAGATGTTCCAAGTTGTGTTCTGGGCAAGTCCAGTGAGGTCCTGCGACCAGATCGCAGGGGTGTCGACTTGACTTCGTAAGACCGCGGTCTCTTCATAGTCCGACGTGACGTAGGCACGTAGGGTCGGAGTGAACTTTACCGTGACGCGACTGTTATTTCTGCGTTTTGTACTGTGAACGCTCTGAAGGAGTGATAGAGGAATACGACATACCCAACATCGCTGAAGTAGAGTGCGGGCGTGGGCATAAAGTCTCCTTTGTTTACAAAGCCTGGAGGTGGACAATAAACTCAGGTGAAAAAGAGGACACGATGATGGTTACAAACCGATTGCCATTCCTTGAGGAGTCCCAGTGCAGTTCTGGGCCTGCATGGTACCATAGGTTCCCGCCTGAGGGGGCTACACCAGGTATTCGTCGGTGGCCGAGATAAATATCAACGAAAGCCAGACTTACAGAGAAATGATAGACCTCGTTGGCTTCTGTCAGGGTTGTTTTCTCGCCGTGCTGCATCATGGCTTGTATTGGTGCTAGCAATTTGATAAGTGAAAGAGGGTCGCTCACATTAATACTGACGGAGGTTGCAGCGCTGATGACCTTCCCGGCCTCGAACTGGGCTCTGGAGAAAGCAAATCTGTACGATATATAAGCGACTTTCAAGACCATCGTTCTTGTCAATGATCTTACTGGGCTGTGTAGGTCGCGGTAGCCTTGTATGGACCTGGAAATAGGGATCATGTGTAAGTTAGCTATTTGGCAGCAAAAGATAGGAAAACGCACCCTCCTTCCCAAATTTGATGACCCTGAAAAAATTACAAGGTTGAAAATCGCCCCCAGTCGAAGTAGGCACACTTACTTCCAAACTATCGGGAAGACGTCCTGGTAGAGGCCATCCAGGTTGGAGCTCCAAGCGAGCATGATGGTCACCTCCTTGCCGAGGTTGTTGCTGCGAGTCGGGTGAAAAATTGATGCACAATAAAATCGCAGACACTCACGACTGGAAGGTCAAATTCCTGACGAATGGTGACATTGTTTCGGATTGCTAAACACAAAGTGTGATTGAGATTGAGTGTGGGATGAATAGCTTGAGTGCTGCAGCAAGAGTCTCGGCGAGGAGGGTTTTATATGTTTCGGATCATAGGCTGTTGCCTCCTTTATAGATTTGAGATTCAGCCAGCGTCTCTCTCGTGCTTCTGTACCTGACGCTGGGGACCGTAAGTATTCAACAGGGCGATAGCACATGATGGCCCTCGACTTGCTGATAGACGGCTTCTTCACGACCCGATTTCCCTGGGCGTTCGAGTTGCGCGTTGGGAAGTCCGCAGCTGTTCCTTCTTTTTGTGCTTCTTTCATAACGTCACAGTGGATAGCCTGGATGAGTACTACCGAGTACTGGTATTTGATCTGTCTGCTAAGGTAGAGAATATTAGGACCGAAATAGTGGACATACTAGTATATACTTGACTCAGCCATGAGGAGCCCGTGGGGGATGGGGCACTGGGCGACTGCAGTCTCTTTTTGCTGCCTCTGAATCATGATGAACTGTCAAAGTCACATGTTGAACCTACCAGATTTCAACGGTGCATGTGACTAAACTTCGAGTTCCAGTGACGTTCAGAACGTTCAAGGCGCTTCGCCTGCACAGCTAGTTGTTTGATTTAGATCTGAAATCTTGAAAGAGGTAACCCCCGACTTACCGGCAACTTCCATGCAGTATTACCCGGCGAGACCACAACACTGACTCGCAAAAGACGTTTCAGAGTCTCACTCTCCCATAATCTGAACCCGTACGTTAAACTTTCTTTCTCAGCTTAAAGTTCTGATCGATGGTAACGAAAGCCCCTGCAACTGCAACGTACTGTCTGCCTCATTTCACTCTCTTCTAACGCCGACCTTTCCGCAACCAACCTGCGGTGTTAAGGGGTACATCATTTGTTTACCAATGGAGTCCCTTCATTTGAGCTGGTAAAGGACTGTAGAATCAGAGTTGAACCACTCGATACAACTGACGGAATTGACGGGAATATGTTGGAGGCCAATGCCACATTCTAACTCGTTGTTCTTTGATTCATGCTGGCTTGCTAATTCTCCCAAAAAGAGTGACAAGACATGGTAGGCACCACATTCGCGGTATGCGTCCCGTCAATCAAAATTACTGTCCAAGCTTAAAGGTGTGTTTCTGCACGCGCATCCTTAAATCTCAACATATCACTATGACAATCTCTGCAGACTATCTGTATCATCCCACATTCGATTGAACATTCACAGCTTTCGGTTCATGTTTTATCATTTTGGTATCTACATCCCCCTTAACTGATAACATTCACGACTCCATTTTTGCCTGCCTTTGGCTTTGTTACATTTTTCTCATTCAGTACGTGCATGAAACCCCCGTACCACACAGAAAGTTATTAATACTACAAAAACATCTGATATTCTCTCATTATCCATGCTGCCTTCGCTGCTATGGTAACTCACTGTTTTATCAGGGCGGATTCAGTGAGGGTGAATGATTCGAGTATGGTTAGTATCTCAGTCGAAAGAGGTTGTTCAACTCAGCAATTACGACTTTGATATGTCTAAATCACAACCACATCATATGCATCGTGAGCAACCGCTCGAACACATACATAAAACCTCATAAGAAGATTTACAACTCTTTGATGACAGAAAAGCATTTTTATACAAAAGCAAGCAATTAAGTCAGGCCATTGGTTTGAACGAAGATACTATAGAAGCAGATTAGACAATGAAGACCTCACAGAACATATTTTCAGGCGCACCGATGTCGCATTCCTTAATCAAGCGTGAGTGACCGATAAATTTCCAGTCCATGAATTGCGCTCGAGGTTCCAAGTCGTGTTCTGAGCAAGTCCAGTGAGGTCCTGCGACCAGACCTCACGACCGTCGACTTGACCTCGTGTCTCTTCATAGTCCGACGTAACGTAGGCACGCAGAACTGGACTGAACTTCGCCGTGATGTGACTGCCATCTCTGCGTTGTGTGCTGTGAACGCTCTAAAGGAGAAATACAAGAAAGAGGACATACTGAACATCGCTGAAGTAGAGTAAGGGCATAGGTATCGAGTCTGCTAGAGAGTGGTTCTGGGCCTCCAGGATGCCAGCGGTTCCCGCCTGAGGGGCCTACACAAGGTATTCATCGGTGGTCGAGATAGATATCAACAGAAGCCAGACTTACAGAGAACTCATTGGCTTTTGTCAGTGTTGTTTTCTCACTGACCTGCATCATGGTTGGCGTTGGTGCTAGCAATTTAATAAGTGAGAGAGGGTCGCTCACATTGATATTGACGGAGGTTTCAGCGCTGGAGACCTTTCTGTTCTATGGAAAGCCAGACCGTGACGGGCCGCCACCGTGCTCTAAGGCCCCCTGAAGCTTCCTATAAGGTCTGTCCGTCTGGAACCCCAATGGGGGAGCTTCAGGGGGCCTGTGCTCTACTTCCAACGCTTCTACTTCTCAGAACCTTCCTAGTAAGGTCAGTGCTTCTGCTGGCCTCCGAACACCCTGTGCGACGACTCGAAAACTTTTAATGGGTCATGTAGATTTATAGGCGGCAGCTGGCTACTGATACACCATGGGGCAGGCGACGACTGCGTCTCTTTTGCTATCTCCGTCGGCTTGGTTTGATCACTTTGATGATATCGATGAACTGTCAAAGTCACATGCTGAAGCTCAACGGCACATGTGACTAAGTTCAGATTTGCAGTGGCGTTCAAGGCGCCTCGCCTGCACAGCTATGTTGATTGTTTTAGAAGAGCAACACCGGTAACTTCCACTGGCACGGTAGCATTAGCCCAGGTCACAGGCCGTTTACTCACTAGTATATCGAAAGAAGGTACTGACCTGAAGTTTTGTTCTAGTCTACCATTTCACTTCCGAATTGCACTGACAGTCACCATGATGGAAACAGAGTCCATTCCTGATACAGCTTTGGTCAACATGGCGAATGGTGGCGCCTTCCACCAGTTGTTCTCTTCTCCAGATGCCGATATTGTACTCGGTGCCAAAGATCATACCCTTTTCCGCATCCACTCATGGACGCTCAAGACGACATCAGGCTGGTTCCGGTCTCTCTTTTCCATGCCTCAACGAAGCTCCCTTCCGAATCACACCGAGGTCATCAATCTAGAGGAAGACTCGCATACACTAGAGAGTCTGCTACTCATGATCTGCGGTCTTCCGATTAACCCACTCACATCGTATGACGAGGTTGATGCATTGTTATTCGCTGCAGAAAAATATGAGATGCCAGGGCCTGTCTCGCTCATACGCGTGCTTATCATGACGCCCCCGCTCTTAGACCAGCCTCTGCGTCTTTATGCAGCCGCAACCCGTTGTGGATGGGAAGAAGAGGCCAAACATGCCTCCGCGCAATCGCTCGCTCTCGACATCTACGCGCCGGAACATCAACCCATCCTGCGAAAAATACACACAGGCGCTGTGCTTGACCTGATAAACTTGCATCGCAATCGACGCGAGGGCATTCGGAAACGTCTGGATGAGCAGCCGTTCGTGATAGGGAGCACGAAGGCATCTTGTCCGCGGTGTAGATGGACGATTGATCATCATACATGGAGAGAGCTCAAGTATAAAGTTGTGATGGAGATGGATGCACGGCCGCTAGGAGACACGGTCGTGGATGTGGGACTGATTGAGTGGCCTGAGGCGGTCGCGTGTTGGGATGCAAAGTGCCCTAATGCTGAGTGCACGTGTGTATTGTACGACAAGGTCGAGACTTTGCGTCTCATTCGGGAGTGTATTGATACCCTTCCTAGAACGACATGAAACGTAGTAGTGCACCATTAGACACGATACTTAGATAGGCTAGTCGAGCAAATGTTATATATTTCGAGGATGGTATAATTTTGACCAAATTGGAAATTAGTTCAAATTACTCTTATTCATGCTCGTCTACCATCGAGTCTCTAATTATGCAGGCGCAAGTCTTGTAAGGGCAGCTGCACGCTGCCTGACTTCCTCTGCCTCGCTGTCAGAGAGCAGCAGCAGCACACAACCCGACTCCATTTTCGCTACCAAAGAATCTCCATGGGACCATATATTGGATGACTCAATAAAAGAGATACCACCTATCCTCCCCTCCCCAGTCCGCAATTCTTTACGCACTGGCAGTACAGATGCCTCAGGACGCGTCCGCGCACGCAAACAATCAATGACCTGCTCGCGAAGTCAGCGCCTTCGACGAAATGTTCAACATGATCTTCGACGCAGTCTCAGAGCAAAAGAAACCCTCCGCCAAACTCTCCTCCATAAAACAAGACGACCCACTCGCTGCTCTCGGCGGAATAGGAATCGGGCGCAAGCCATTCAGCCATGCCCTAACGTCAGATTTATTCGGCAGACTCAGACGAGACTCAAAACGGTTGAAATGGACGACGGAGGCGGACGAGGAATTTGATAAGAAGAAGGAGGAAATGGAGCTTTGTGATACGGATCAGCAGCTGCTTGAATGGGCCATGCGGGAGGTGTTTGGACAGTCTCAGGAATACGAGGAACGTGCTAGGAATTCCATCGCTAGAACTGAGGAACAGCATGCTCCAGGCCTTTCCCCGCCCTCTAACCCAAGCACAAACGCACTACTACCAAAGGCTATGCACCCTGAACTCCAACACCCGACTTATCCCTACCTCATTGCGCACCTCATGCGTTCATTCCGCGATAAGTATCGTGACCCCCACCTCGCTCTTTCCATCTTTGACTATGCCAAACACTTGAGCATTCCAAGCTACGTATTCGGGTGCACCACTCCCGCATACAACGAGCTGATAGAAACGCGCTGGTCATATTTCCGCGACCTCAGAGGCGTACATGACGCCCTCGAAGAGATGCGCGTCAACGGCGTGGAGCCCGATGGCAGAACCAAGAAACTCGTCGAAAAACTAAGGCGCGAAGTAGGCGCGCGCACGGTTTGGGAAGAGGAGTCTATGTTTGGAAGTGGGGAGGTTGTTGGGATGCTGTCTAAGATCGAGCAGCTTACTGTGAAGCAGCCGAGAAGGAGACAGGGGAAAGGAGCGAGCAAGAAAGGGCGAAGCAAGAAATTGCCGGCTTTGGATTCGTGGAAGGGCGATGCTCTCAAGGAAGACGTGGAGGATGGGTATGAGTTTGACCAGTGGGATTCTCCTGAGCCGAAGCCAAAATATCGGAAACAAGTTTCAGAACGGGCAGCAGCTGTCGCAGGGCTGGACGATTTACTGGATGACAAGATACCAGGCGAAGACCAGCTGGAATTTAGATAGCGTGCTAACCTATACATTTTTGTCGTATTCAACGGGGAGAGGTGGGAGCGTGTGCTACTCTGATGAATGTCAGAAAAGTTAGAAGCTAATGCACGATAGGAGGTACACTTGCGAGGATTGAAGAAACGAAATTTGCATGAATGCAATTCCAAGCTGGGTGTAGAAAATATACACTAGCATGGCAGGCATGATTCACTTTCTGTTGCGAGATTGAGAAACGTAGATGCTGAATTTCACCTCAGCAAGTTCAGCGCCAGATTCACCAACGTGACGGTCGCCGTCTGTACCTTGTCCTCCAAAAAGAACTGCAAGAAGTTGATCGGAAAAATAACGACCCGTCTGTTTATCGTGGGCACCGTCTAGCAAGTTGTATGCACGTTTCAGGTTCGTAGCTCGTGCAATCAGAGCTTGAGCAACGAAGCCAGGCGCTGTCAAGCGAATGATAGCCCCTATCGGGAGTCGCTATCCCCAGAGAAGCGGAAGATGCCTCCATAGCGGCAGGCTCTAAGCTCTGAGTCATCTATAGTAGGTTTACCTTTTATTTATTCTACTAGGTATACTGAATTCGAATTTCGGTCACGAGGTTGGTTGGTTGACGATTTAAAAAAGTGGATAATCCCAATGGGACGGTTCCAACAACGTTCAACGTTTGGACTATCGCTTAAGGATAGTAACCCCTTGCAAGGCCGTAATCGATCCTCCCGAATTCAGAAAAGTATGTCAGACGGATCCATATACGCAAAACTGTTCTGATTCACGTCCAACGTGAACCAGTTACTTCATCCTGTCAACAAATTTCATTTGGCCTGTACTTTCCTAGCGCGATTCTTTTGCTTTCTCTACAAATTTCGTCAACGTAGCTATATCCTCATGATCACCCGCTATCGAATTTTCAATCCGCTCGTATACCCTCGCTAGACCTCGGTAGACGTCCCCCTCGCTTCCACCAACAAAGTCAGCAATTTCTTCCATCTCTCCAATCAATCTATACGCTTTCGGGAGCAGGACCGGTACGGTCTTCACCAGACGGTCCAACAAAATTGGCTGCGATATCTGTAGCTCTCTCATGAGAGCATCTACGGTCGCAGGCGACGATGCATGAGCCGCTACCATGTGTCAATCACCCGTTTCCTTCACAAGAAGATAACAATCACCTAGCACCATCGTGGTACATAATCCCGCCGCTCCCTTTACTATTCCCTGTTAAACGTGTTTTTAGCAACGTACGACTTGTTCGCTTGCCTCTTCCGCTCACGGCATACGATATCTTGAGTGCGCTAGCGTCTCCGACCCCCGCGCCTTCTCCTTTAAGGGGAGATACTTTCAAACCATACTTTGACAATGCAGTAAATTCATCCAAAATTTTCACATCTTCCGCTGATGCGTAGAATGTAGGATTATGGTCGCCTCTCGGGGCTCCTCCAATAATGCTAGCATCAACAAACTCGATGCCTGTCCCTGAAAATAACGCCGCGATACGTTTTACCGTTTCTGGGTTGACAGCATTGCAGTCAACAAACGTCTGTGGGGAAGGTAATGCGCTCCCATGTCTTGCGGCGACTTCCTGTATCTTTTCTGCAAACGACACAGCATCTCTTGGTGGTAAGATACTCAGGATCCAGTCTGACTTGAGCACAAGCTCGTCGAGGGGGAGGTCAATCATCCCTGCATCTTGTGCTCGCTTTCGTGTGGCTTCAGAGCGGCCATCAAGGTTGGTGTAAACTGTACAGCCGAAGCTGATCAGACGTTTAGCCACGGCAGCGCCCATGGATCCAGCGGCGACTACTGCCAGACGCGGTACTGCGGAGGACATGATGTGTTACGCTCTGCGTCACCTATGACGACTTGTAATCAAAGGAATCAAGTAAAGCTAGTTGCAGGCCTTGGTCTGTGTAGTAGGTCAGTAAAAGACAACGTTAACTTTGTACTCCCCTAATAGAAGGATAATGACTAAGCAAATACTTTAAGGAATCTGTCTGAGCTTCCTTCCGACAGTGGAACAGAAGCTAAGTAGCCTAGGCCGAGGCTGCTATCACCTTAAGCGTAAACACGCATACAGGGGCCTCGCCTTGCGCTCAGATCCCAACTTATCTCGCACTCCTATCCTCAAAGTGGGCTAGTTCTTGGATCATGTGTTCAATATATTTGATGATCACACACATGAGGCATGATCTCGTCTTCTTAACAGGAACTAGCTAGATTTCAGTAGATCGTCTGCCCTTGCGAACATCATGCAGTACCTCGGGTCGACTCCATACGAACGGCCCAACTCTGTAAAATTCCCCACATTTGCGCATGGAACGCCCTCGTCGAATCGCAGCTTCACCCTCATCCTGGTAGCATCATCCCTCTTCTGCACGTGCTCTCTGATGGCAAGAGCCCCGGACCCCGTTTCCTGCCGGAAAATCCCCCTCCTTTAGCCTAAATCGAACTCGCATCTGCTTGGACTCTTCTCTATCAAGGACCGACCTGTGTCACCCCCAGGACATATTCCATCTTATCCGGTATGTACCCTGTCGAGCTGTCACCCAAACTCTCTGAATAGAATAGGGCCTCGGAGAAAGAAAAGTGAAATTGTCTGCAGGTGACTCGGGTTGTCAAAAAGAACCTCTGGCTAAAGGGGATTAGGCTGCAGACCATGTGGTCACACAGCCGACCTCGAATGACGAGGAATACTGATGCACTTACAGCGTTGGGATGCAGTTCATTTGGCTAAATTCTTTATGCTCGAACGACGACGATCTAGCTGTTACGTGGGAGCCCATCAGGGCTGTGTCTCCTACTACAGATAAATCAATTACTCTCGCGCTGTAATCGCAAGTACCCGAAAGCCATCAGAATCGTGGCGGAAAACATCATGACGTGTTACATCATATAAGTCCATATCAGCAGACGAATAAGTACCCAGTGACAAACACCACACGCACACGTACATACGTAGAAGAACAAAATATTAACTAGCCTCGAAAAGGTATAGTAGGAGCACAAGTCAGTAAGAAAGTTGGGAGCGTGAGATCAAATCCCATTTCCACAAGCATCCATCGTGCTACATAGTCTGTTGATTTCCGACTCCAAAAGTCCAAAATAAAACCCATTAAAGAAGTTGTTTCCAACCCGCATCACGACACTTCTTCACGAGGCGCTTCACCTCTTGCGATCGTGCACGCGTGGTCACGAGAAGGGTATCAGGCATATCGACGATAACCAGATCATCGACACCCAGGCACGTGATAAGACGTCCTGAGCCAGGTACCACAATTCCTCCAGCAACCTGTTCCGTCAGCACTGTCCGAAGAGAGATGAAATTAACCACGACGACTTGATCAGAACAGGGTAAAAATAATCACCCAAAGAACTGTCCCCAAGGACACGAGGCTGATTAGATTCAGCAGGTAGTAGGTCTGCGAGCGAAGAGAAGTCTCCAACGTCATCCCAGCCTAAAGTCCGATATTAATCTACCTCGCTTGCCCCATGATGAATATGGAACGTGGAAACATACCAAACGTTGCTGGTACTACAGCAACCTTACCCTCAGCAGCAGCAGGTTCTGCGACTGCGTTGTCGATCGGGATCTTCTCGAGCTCGGGCCAGATTTCGTTGAGAGCGGCCTGGCGTAATGCCTCGTCGTGCCATACAGCCGCAATCTTTTGTAGCCCGTCGTGGAGTTCCGGTTTGTATTCCTTAAGAAGGTCCAAGAGGAAAGTCGCTTTTGTGACGAACATCCCAGCGTTCCATCGATAGTTTCCAGTACCGATATATGCGGCAGCAGTGCGCGCATCAGGTTTCTCTTTGAAGCTGGAGACGAGCCTAGCGTTTGGAGCTTCCTTGATTCCTAGTTTATTTCCAAGCCGAATGTAACCGAAGCCGGTGGAAGGATGAGAAGGCGCAATGCCAATGGTAACGAGATAGTCTTTCTTCGCTACTTCGACGGCTTCCGCGACGGCAGAAAGGAAGGCGTCGTCACCTGAAATCATATGGTCGGCGGCAAATGAGCCGATGACGGCATTAGAGTCTCGTTTTGAAAGGACAGCTGCAGCAAGTCCGATAGCTGCCATGGAATCCTTTGGACCAGGCTCGCAAATCAAGTTATGCGCGAGAAGGTCAGGCAGTTGTTCGCGGATAGACTTGACATGACCAGGACCTGCGACTACAGTGGTGCGGAGGGGGGATGAAAGAGGGAGAAGACGGTCCCAGGTAGCTTGGATCAAGGAACGTCCCTTGAGAGTCAAGTCGAGAAGAAATTTCGGGTGCTCTTCTCGCGATAGCGGCCATAGCCGCGTACCAGCACCTCCTGCGGGAATGACAACGTAGAACCCGGGAATGTCGCGGACACCGTGTTGGAAAGGTGTAACCGCATTATCGCCCAACGGAGACGGGAAGTGACCGGCGGGTACAGCGACTAGGGAAGGGATACTGTGCGGAGATAGGAATGGGGATTTGGCTCGAAGCTGAGGGCTGCCGGGCACTGGGGTCACAAAGCCAGAGCCTATGCGCGAGCTGGCGTAATAGTTTCCGTTCCCATTTTGCTGTCGCGATTGAATGAATCCTGGAACTTAGAATGTGTTGGAGTACAGAGTCATCCCGCTCACCTGAAACCCTTCCCGGATTTGACGTTCCAAGCTTGCGTTTGCCAATCGTAGGTCAGCACATTCCTGCCGGAGATCGGATATCTCGACATGCTATGTTTCGATGCATCAGCGACTGTTTTTTTTGGAGTGTCTCGCATGCATAAATGGAACTAACAGATTTCTGCACTGCGCTCATGATTTGAGAGAACATGTATTCAACAGGGAGCGCATTGTCGCTGCTGCTGACCTGCCCGGAAAGTGGGGCAGCAGAACCGTAGGGAATGGACATAATAAATGGAAGTCGATGTCAAGGGTATTGTTTAGCTGTCGGAGTGCAACTTTATATAAGGGTTGCGTTTTTTTTTGTAAACGTGTATGAAGGCTTTCGGCGCTTATACATATAGCTTCTATTTCGGGATGTCTTATTTGGTAAAAGTCACGGAACATGCTATGTAAATCAAATATTGAGGGTAAACTGGCAAGCACCCGCTCGGGACAAGGCCATTTGTTGAAGAATCACAGTGAACGTTATGAGTCACAACATAACGAGTTGGAAGATGTCAGCAATCACAGGATAGCTCAAGATAATTTATTCGTCTCCCGTTGTCAGTGACACCGCAGCACTGGCTGGATCTGGCCAATTGCCCAATGCCCAGGCGCCGGTGAACTAATTAATGCTTTGCGGTGCATGTGATATACACAGCTGACTAGTCTTCATCACTTTCGAATTCGAGAGCTTGGTACTTCCTTGCCTTTTTATTCGGATTGGCCAAAGATGCGCCCTTGGGAGGTCGAGAACTGGCTGAAGGTTCTGTTCCGCAGTAGAATCACCTGCCTCTGAGTACGTGGCAAACAATGGAGCTTACTGGATATTGCATCACCCGGCGGCGATCTTTCTTTTGAACGAGCTAGTTCCGCTTCGAGAGCCTTTATTTTCCGTTTAGCTGCCTGATTGACAGCGGAGACAGGGTCCTGACTCAGGTCCAAGGGTGCACGTCTTGACGGAAGTGTTGAAGCTATGGCAATAAGCTCAACGTGCGCATCAACGTTGACAAGGGACGGGGCGGACCTGAATTAGCGTGGGACGACTCTGCAATAACGGGGACGTTGCGAGGCGAGAAAAGAGGGTTTAGATGGCATTTGCGGGACTGAGCTTGTAGCGCAATCTTGATACGAGTCAAATATTGTCGGTGAGCAGCCAACGATTCATGTGCCTTACATCAATGAACACCGCGATTGCATGAGATGAAGCTTCAGCTGCGGACAATTCTTTTAGAGCCATGTGTAGTGGACGTTTGGCAGTTGGCCTGAAAGTAAGCTAATGAAGTCCTGTTGGCTCGGTATAATCCATACGTCAAGAGTGGTATTCACGTTGATATCCGAGTCCTTCTCAGTCCATTCTCCGATGGCAAGGTCACCATTTACAAATGTCGACCGAAGCTTTTCAGCAAAGTTTTCGAGTACTTGAGGGGTTGATTGACCCTAGAACGACGCATGATTAGGGTAAGGGTGGTGAAAAGGCGTCGACACGAACTTTGGTGATGTTAAGGATGTGTTTGGGTGACCAGGAGCCTCGCCACCACCTGCCTTCTGGTCCCTTGAGGCCTAAGTAAATCGACCATGCAGATTCGGTTACTCGTGATAGTACAACATATCGGTCAAAACCCTGGTAGATTATGTGTATGAGATCGTCAAGAACCCCAAAATGTGACAAGACGTCGGTAGACATGATGAAGCTGTAAGAGCTTGAATGTCGACATGTTCTCGATGCCTTCCAAAACAAGTATTCAGGTATTGATACGAATATCCCACGCACGGACCATCAACAAGAATGTATATAAACGAGGCCTCCCACTTTTGTGTTTCCTCAGAACATACTCAGCTAGGATCTATTTTATAGAAACTAACTCGAGTCTTGCATGTTTACACATGCCACATCCTTCAATTCCGCTGGATGACATTAGCGCTCACTCGTTCGACAGAGAACATGTTTCTGCTTGCGGAGACTCGAGGACGTTTGGGTTTGTGTTTTGCCAACTGCTTGCAGCCTGGCGAAGCCACCCCCAGCGAGTTGAGCGTCTGTCTGACGGAATCTCAGGATAATTACATCTACTTACAATTGCGATGCATGTTTGTATACAAACGTTGTGCAAAAACTTTACTGTCTGTTTGTAAGGAATAGGCTTGTCTCGGAATAACACGATCATTCAAATATTATACAAGTGTTAGCAAACTTTGTTACATGAGTCCTGCATCCGAAGCACGGCGCCTCAGTTTGTTCAACCATCCATGCTTCTCGGCATCTAAATCTCCGCTAACCCGAGTCATCGACGACATCTTTGACTGTTCAATACCGCCTTGATATTTGCGTGTCCACTGATGGTTTGTGAAACCTTGCTCTCGTATTTGTTGAGACGCCGTGAAAACGTTCCAAGATGTCGCATTGCTGAAGAAATCATCGATTTGCTCGAGGGGACGACCCGATGTTTCTGGATCTACAAAATAGAACCGCCGCGTTAATAGGATCACGCATTGAAAACAGTAAGACCCAAGCCATACACATGAAAATGATAAAGGGGATTACGAATATGTTGAGGCCAAAGAGGAGCAGCAGCACGCCATATTCGATTGCCTGAAACAGGAAAGGCTAGAGAAAGAACCATTAATTCATTTGTAAATGTTCGAGCGTTCGACGACTTACGGTAATCATAGTCACGATGCCATTTCCTATGGACCATCCAACGACAGACCATGCACCTCCTTTGGCCCGAACGTATGTAGCTGCATCGTTTCAGAGAACAAATTTGAGCAAAGGAATTGATCGCACTCACGAAAGAGCTCAGTTGGATAAAGCCACGGAGTTACTAACCAGGTGGCGCCAAACGTGCCAGTATACAGGAACTGGGAGGCACATCATTTACAAAAAATGACTTCCACGATACCTGAATCGGTTGCTTACAGTCATCGCCACGACACCCGCGCCATATGCCCGTTGATTGGGTCCCCCCGCTTGCGTATCTATCAAGTGATAATGAGTGACAATCAAACAGAGTAAATGGATATCACATTTGTCCAGGATGCCACCGATGAGCAGGAGCAGTGCCATGCCAGCAGCCCCCCATACCATTGTGCTTCGTCGTCCAAATCTATCCAGAGTGAACACAGCAAAGAGTACACTGAACATGTAGGACAGATTATTAAATCCGGCCAAGAGTTTTGCCTCGCCTTGGCTAAAGCCAGCGCCCTGAATAAGATCGATGGCTACATATGACGTCAGAAAAGTGGCGAATCCGTAGAAGAAAGTGCTTTACCATAGACGGTGATGACTCCGATGCCAACGAGCTCTTGCATAATTTGTAGCCATACACTTAGAACAACTCTCCATCGTAGTTCGCGCTGGCTCTTTGTCCTCGGACATAACATGCGAAGATAACTATTGTTCTCTGCGTGTTGCTGATCATGTATCACGCTCCGCACGATGGCAGCTAGCTCAGCCTCAACTCCGTCCTTGCGGGTTGCCTGCAACACAGTGCGTGCTTCAGAGACACGGCCGACTTTCGCCAGCCATCGAGGGGATTCCGGAAAGAAAGGTACAAGCGCTGTGATGGTTCAACATAAGTGAGGTTGGGTAAAAGATCGGGACGAACCGAGAATCGCGAGCAGAAACACAACTTGCAGTGCCAGAGGTGTGCGCCATGCCATTGCCTGATTGTGGTTCATGCTCGCAAATCTACAAATGTGTCAGGTAATTGGTTTATAACAGGTTGCTTGGAACGGGCTGACATTTCTATCCAATATGCCAATGACAGTCCACCGATGTTCAGGAAGAACTCGATCGCAAGAAAGCCGCCTCGTACTTGATGTGAAGAAACTTCGCTGCTCCATACAGGAATGACTTTATTGAAGATAAGTACAAAGAATCAAGATAACAGAGGATCATTCACCTGCGTCAATAGCTCCCACACCGAGACCAGTCACGACTCGTGCGCAACACATCCAAGTGATGTTCATCGCGGAAGCTTGAAATGTTGCTCCGATGATCGAGATAATGACACCCAATATTATGGCAGCTATACGTCCCGACCGGTCGGCGATGGTACCGCCAAGCAGTGCTCCAATGAGGGAACCGACGTAATAAACCTGATAGACGTACAGAAAAAAAATACTATCAAGAAGCCTTCAACTTACAGAAACTATGCCCCCAAGCGCCGCGAGGTTACGTGAGTTTCCCGTGGTGGGGTATATGCCCATCAGTTTCAGGTAATCCTCATTAAGATTCACTTGTGACATGACCCTGCGCGTCGATGCATTAACGTTCACTCGGAAGAGGAAGGTTACGAAGGTGTACGTACCCTTGGTCATAACCCTGGTCGGTCAATCAGCTTCTGATAGGTGAGAAACATGCGACTACTAACATAAAAAAGTATCGCTAGACCAGCAAGCAGATTATTTGCCCAGTTATATGAGTCCGGGTTACTGAACTTGAACATTCGCGCAGCCGAATAACTCTGCAAATGAATTGTACATCACCGGTAAGCGTCTCGAAGGTATGATCCTAGGAAAGTAGACTTACGGGCAGGTACTTACTCATCCACCATTCGGGTGTGACAAGAACATCCTCAGCATCGCATGCTACAACAGTTGCGGATGCATTGAACGAAACTACATCGTTGCTAGCGCCGTTGAACAATCTAGACGAACCTACAGAGAGGGATAGTTGTTCTGACTCGTTTCGCATCTCGTGCGAGGGGCAAGAGGAAGATCGCTCTGTTTCCATAAAGAAGTGAATGTGCTTTCCAGTACGAAAACGAAAAGACCAGACTGCAGACTTTGAGGTTAGCCACTGTCCGTATTTATAACCAGTGGAGTTGAGAGCCACTTATGTTCCGGGCCTCAATCCAAGGACGGTGATGTCAGAATGCCGAGATTTCACCCATATCTCATGCATAGCCGGTATAAGTAAATATCCCGACAAGACATTCCTTGTGGGACGGCCTGAAATTGTACAAGATCCTGGAAGGATCAATGGTATGCTGGATTCGCAATCACAGACGTACCGAATGCGTAGGTACAAAATCCATTCAAAGAATCAAGGTCCCTAGTCGTGGTCCGGACCATGCACTCTCTCCAAATGATGATTGCACTATCTAGTTGGAGGTCCAATCCATTGAATCGGCACGGGCGCAAACTCGAACTGAGCTTTCAGTGCCCGTGCCTTGAGCTACTTGCAATTTTTGGTGGTCGAGGATCAACAGCCTTCACGTACAAAATCCAAGGTTTGATGAAATCCCCACATAATACATTCAATCATTCCAAGTCAGAGTAAGTAGTAGTAAAGCTGCATACTGTCGCAGGGTGATACAGCCGTGTTCCGTAAGAAACGCGTGTCTTTTGGCGGATGGTTGCAACGCTTGTATACTTCAAGTTGGCAGATAGTGAATGGAGTGAATTGATCAGAAGGTGCATGCCGCTGGCGAGGGTTGCAACGTTGATTACATAACGGTTAAATCATGATGGCCTGCTACGATTTGACATGTACTCAGTAGTGAGGCCTAGTGAGGCTGTACACACCATGTCCTTCCCAACTCGGAGTACATCTACATCTGCACGAGGACTGGGCTGTGTAGTACCTACGCTGGCCCACGTATTATCATTACATTCGCTTGCTCCAATCAACAACACATCATGACACTTAAATCCTCCCAGGCAACGAAGTACGTTTGATTAACTTGATATGAAATCTAAGATGAGTCTGAAGTCACGTTGTAGATATCTTGACTTCTGATTTTCCTGATTGGCAGTCATACAGTTGCAATGCATGCTGGTCGAGGAGCATCGAGGAAATCTTTCCACGACCATAATTAAGCGCTCAAATTTCGGATGCATAGTTTAATTTTCATGCAACAATGCCTAACATTGCCCGCAATATGTCACAGGTAGTGTAGACACATGATCGCTCGTGGGTTGCGTTGGTGTGGATACACGTAGCTGAATGAATTTCATCTCACCTGCTTCGTCTTGTATATCAAGTTATCGCCTCATAAAAGACGCGAATTTCAGGCGTGATCACGATGGCATCCGTTACAAGAGACCCTTTTTGAGCGACGAAGACAATGATGCATCATATGACGTTGTCGTGGCTGCGTGAATTAGACATAAAAACCTCGTAGGTTTGATCGATAAGCCTCTTTCAGTAGGGACATGACGCAAAGCTGGCGCTTTAGAAATGATGACTTAATAATTACGGAGCATCAACAGGGTTCCAGCTGATGGACCCATCCTTTCCACGGTCAAGTCCGTCGAGTTGTTCCATCTCTTCGGGTTCAAGCTCAAAATCATACAATTGAGCGTTTGATCTAATGCGTTCTGGCGTTGCTGATTTGGGCAGCGGAACAAACCTAAACCAATGTAAATTCAACTTGAAAAATGAAAAGAAGGCTTCGGACCCTTTTTGAAGCGACCACCGAAGGAGCACTTGGGCTGCATCGCGACCATGCTAAGAAGGTCTTTAAATCATATTTGGAATAGTACATCAGAAGCAGAACTGACATTCTGCGCTATTGCTTGAATGATCGGATGATCCATTTTCCCTCGCATAATCGGACAGTAGGCTTGGACCACGATCGAGTGTTCACGGCAATAGTCCACTATGGGCCGCTGCTGGCAAAACGGGTGAAGCTGCCAGCATGCGATGAGTGGGATGTACTGCCCATCAAAATCAGTTGCATGCCTCAATTTGATTCACCGCCGGCATATCATATTTCGCGTCTGCAATCTCTTCTAAATGCTTAATCCCGCTATAAAAATGTTGCGTTACGACTAGCACTTCTTTAGTATACAAACGAGGCAGAAAACGCACTAATTTGAAACGCCTATAGATCGTATTTTTCCCGCATCACGGGCATCTTGCAAAGCCCTGTATGTGGCTAGGCGGCGCTCCGTGCCAGACCACGGGTCGTGAATGAGAAACAGGTCAATGTACTCTGATTCGAAGACGTAAGTATGCCGAGAATCTGTTCAACATGAGCAGGTGAATGACTCACTAAAGCCAAATTTAGCGAGAGATTCATCGACACCCTTCAGCGTGCTCTCATACCCATGGTTTTTGCTGACACATTTCGTCGCTAACGTTCGGTAAGGATGTAAGGATGGAAGCTCATTTCCTGAACTGCCTTGTGACACGCACTAATGAAAAGTTCTCCTCGGTCAATGCCGCTATCTCTGACAGCTTCCCCAACAGCAGTTTCATTGCGGTAAGCTTGAGCTGAATCCACGTGTCTAAAATGGTTCAATTCAACATCAATGATGGATCATGAACCACATCACCTGAAGCCCGCTCGAAGTGCTTCAAGAACTGAAGTTTGGGTGGTGTAATTTTGATACACGCCAAATCCCAGGAGTGGCATTGTGTAGCCTATGGTCGTGCCGTACGAGGGATTCTCATTGGTTTAGCCGTAGACGAGTAATAGAACTACAAATTATTACCTGACACCAGTTGAATTCTAGACTCGATCGTGAGCGTCATACTACGAAGTGAACTCGCCGGCTCGGTGAGTCGGACCATCGTGCTCCTGTTTAGCTGCGATTAGCTAATCTAAATTCAAATGACCCGGCGAACCCCGAGTTAGGTTCGGTCAGGAAGTCAAAGTCCAGTAGGATGGGCCTCCCTCTAGTCCAAGCGGAACAGCTGTATTGTCAAGTCCATTTCATTCACACAGCACGTCAAATGAATCATTTGCTTGCATCCTGCAGTCATTATTTGTAAAGGCTTGTCGGACTTCCGGATTTGAAAAGACCGCTGAAACGTAAGAGCAAAGGTACGCGAGAAAAAAACGCTAGAAACAACTACAATTCACGAGGAGATCAGAGAAAATATTATTCACATCGGACTTCTATTGTCAGACTTGGCGCGCGATGACGATACTGTGTGCTCAATGCACTACGGGCATGGTCAGCTGCGCAATCAGGTCCAAACTTCGAAAACCTTACTGAGTATGGCTGTGACTATACATCAATCTTCGTCCCGCTCTAGGAATGCGTCGCTCTTTGTCTCTCTAAGTGCTCTTGCATCACTCTCTGCGCATTTGCTTTCGCCGAGTCAAGCTTTCCGGCCTTTGCTAGAGCTAATAACAAAGCATGCACGAGGCCGATGTGGTTATGGCGACGCAAGTTGTTCTCAAACTTTGAAAACAGAATCAGGAGTGAGCATCGGCGACAAAATATCCAGTACTCACTACCCAACGCTCGCGCTTAGAGTTTTCATTGGAAATTTTGTTCAAAAGATCGCTCACTTCAGCGTCCCCTGCTGAACCTTGCAGGGCATTTAAACGTCTTCTCATTTCAGGTATTGGGTCATCCCGAAGAGCGAGCAAGCTGAATTCAAGCTACAGAATATAAGTTGAGATATGATAAAGCACATATTTTTGCTCACTGCCCCGGTCGGGTAAGTGTGTATCCGGTTCTCGATTACTTCTCTAGAAAACAGGGGAATTCAATGGCAAAATATGGCAAAGGCGTGTGACTAAGTACCTTGCTTTTTTAACCCATCCCTCTCCGGATCCGTCATATTCTCCATGCCGCACTGGGTAAGGTTTCAGTCCATCAAGTTCGTACAGACTCCCCAACACTGGGAGGTACACAACAAAGTGGTAAGCTTCTTCACTCTTCTTCGGAAGATCAAGACCATCTAGCGAAATGGCACTAGGTGGGGAAAGGGCGTTATGAGCTTCGCGAAGCCAATCCGCGCTTGTGATAGCCATCCCACATGTCTGTGGGTCCATGCCTGCGGTAAAGTTCATGAGGTCCATAAATTGAGGTCCTGCAGGGAGAGACGTGATGTTTCCCAAGGCGTTGACAACGGCAAGTGTAGCACAAGCGTTGTTCACGGTTTGATGGGCGAAGAATCCGGGGAATTCTGAATCATATTGACCAGCACCAACACCAGGCTCGTCATCAGGTGATTCAGGGAACCACTTAAACAAGAAGATTAGAGCATGTACAGGCTGTAGCGCCTCCAATGATTCTGGTTCAAGTGAGTAGAGGTCATCGACGATGTAAGGCACTCCGAGCGTCTTGAGTAGCTCTCTGTGACCGGTTGCGTAAGTCAAGTAGATCAGTTATCATCGTTTCAACATACGTGAACACCCCAGGGTCAGATTCTGTAAGTTGCCAGCCACTAGAGTCCTCGTCTGACATCATTCACGATGTGTAAAAGTAAAGCAACAAGTCACCGCGCGTCGAGCCTGGGCTTGCCACGTGACCCTTGTTTGGCAATGCCTTGCGTTCATAACAAGTTTTCTCCGCTTGTACGTGATGGCTTCTGAACCTGCTCAATCGCCTCAGGCCACGACAGAAGATCTACGGGCTGCTAACCGCGACAAATTTGAGCTTGAACTAGAATTCGTGCAGTCGCTGGCAAACCCATACTACCTCCGTTCTCTCGCACAGGAGAATATTCTTGACCAACCTGCATTCGTTAACTATTTGGAGTATCTCATGTACTGGAAAGAGAAGGATTATGCCCGGTTCATACGGTTCGTCTATGCGAGCGCTTACAATACTGCAACCGATGCCCTTGTTCAGCTACCCTCACGCACTGCACCATCTTGACTTGCTCCAACATGCCCGATTCAGGTCAGAAATGAAGAAAGACGAATGGCGCGAATATCTCAGCCAAATGCAGTATGACCACTGGCGAACATGGTATGATATATTATTAGAGGTACTTTCTTGATAATGATCCATCGCGTCAGGCGAGATTACCCAGGGATTAGTACTACTGGTATCGCCTCCACTGACCCTCAAGAAACCGGTGTGCAATCACAACAGAATGCTCCTTTTGGGTGACATGGTATACCGGAAGTCTTGGCAGAAGTTTAGGGCGCTTTGGTAAACGAAAGTAACCATGAAATGAAGCGTTGCCAAATACACAGACTTGTCGCTTGACACAAGGAGTTACTTGTATACTCAGGCTCTATGTCGCGACATATGATATAGTTCAGTAGATAGACCCTTCTGGATGTCTTCCGAAAATCGAAAATTCCCACGTCTGTTAAACACTTCACGCGTAGTACTGCCATTACTTGGAGGCTACATGGCTCACTATGCTGAAAATAACTCTGAAGGTCGTCACTCGTACATACCGGTGGCATCAAGTTTCAGGGAGGATAACCACGGCGAATCCAACGTTCATATTGCGTCGCTTGCAGAGAAACAGCGAATATGGTGGAGAACCGCCATCATCAATACGTGCTTCATAGCTGCGTGGTACGTGGGTGTTACTGTCAGGCTCCTGAAACAGGTTTAGATGTTGACTGCATAGGTATATATTCGCAACCGTGCTGTCTTTGTACAACAAATGGATGTTTTCGCCAGACCTTTTCGGATTTCCGTATCCGCTCTTCGTGACTACCTTGCACATGCTTGTTCAGTTTCTCTTGGCTGCTGCTCTCCGGGTCTGTTTCTCGCATCATTTTCGTCCAGATAGAAGTCCTTCATTAGAAGATTATGGGTACGTGCTTTCTCGCATTAGCCAGGACCCAACGGGCAGTCCTTGTCCTCACTGGACACCGGTTCTGATTGTAGCCTCTTTGAAGCAAGAAAGCAATTCCTACTGCCGCTGCTACCGGTCTCGATATTGGTCTGTCAAACTTATCCCTCAAGACTATTACTTTATCATTCTATAGTGAGTTCTCAGTTCTGAACTTCGCTAGACGCTGGCCTACTATGTTTGAAATTTGAATGCGTAATTTACGCTTAACTCATACATCTGGTTGTCCACAGCAATGTGCAAGTCATCTTCTCTCATCTTCGTATTATGCTTTGCATTTTTCTTCCGTTTGGAGGTGTTCTCGTTGCGACTTGTCGCCGTCATTCTTCTCATTTTTGGCGGGGTGATTCTTATGGTGGCTTCTGAAACGGCCTTCGTTCTTCCCGGATTTTTGCTTGTGATGACCGCCAGCGCATGTGGAGGTCTCCGCTGGAGTCTCACGCAACTGCTCTTGAAGAACAAGAATATGGGTCTAGATAATCCTGCAGCTACCATATTCTGGTTGGCTCCTGCAACAGGCGTCACAACAGCCCTTTTGAGCATCATCTGGGAGGGATGGTTTACCGTATACGCTTCACCTTTCTTTCGGGACATGGCCACTACTTTTCGTTCGAGTTTGTTCTTGGTCGCGCCCGGTATCTTGGCGTTTTGTATGGTCATGAGTGAATACTAGTACGTTTATGACTATGTACTCTCCACGAAGCCATCTAATTAGGTGATAAAAGCATCATCCAACGGGCCGGAGTCCTGCCGATGTCGATAGCGGGAATAGCCAAGGAAGTTTCAACGATCACAGTCTCGGCTTGGTTTTTCGGAGACGAGCTTACGCCACTGAACATAATTGGCGTAGGTATCACAGTTTGCGGTCCGTTTCGAAGCTATTATGAATGCGGCACTTCTAACGGTCTCTGTAGGGATTGCGCTTTTTACGTTTCACAAGTACCGCGATTCTATTGGTGGTAGACTATCGGTAGACGCGCAGGGAAACATGGTGGTGATAGACGACGAGAATGTGGGCAACTCGTCAGATTCCGTGCATGGGGCCAACTTCGAGCTTAATGCTGCTAACCTTCAAGAGGATGGTCATATTGCGGTATGTGACAGCCTTACGAAAACATTTTACAATTATGTTACTCATCAAAACGCCACAAAGCGTCAGGGGTCTGATGATAGCGACACGAATCAGCGCCTGCTTTTTTCCACCGATCATGACTCGGATGATCATCATGAAGGCGAAGAAGATGCCGAACTAGTCCGGAGCATTCAGTTCTCTAAGTTCAATTGGGAGGCTGAAAGAGGTATAGATGGAAACCACTAATAGCCTAGGTCCCGGATGCTTCCAATTACATAGTATCATATGCAGACTAGTTAGTATTGACCTCTTTTCGAGAAGTTGCAACCTGAAGCGGGTGAAAGTGAATCCTGTGGCCCCATCGCTCGGGTCAGAGGACTGGAGTCTCAGTAACCGACCATAGCCCTTCTGGTGAGTATTACGAACCGTTGCTTCTCTAATTTTGTCCCGAGCCGTGCACAACTCAAGTTTGTATTAAGCTTACGTTGACACGCAATAATAGTGAACTGTTTGAGTTATGGTTCGAAATTATTGATCCGAGGACAGCTGACTTTGTAGGGTGACTTCTGTTCCGCAAAGCCCGGCAACCACGCGGCCTGCCTTGCGCTTACTCTGACTTGGTGGTGATGTGATTTTTGGTTCAAATGATTGGGCCACACGAGTTGGGAGACAGATCGTTCGGTTACTGCGGAATATTATCTGATGCGATCAATTTAGTCAGCACAGCAAAAACCCTTGAGTCGACGATGGAAAATACCTGGATACGGTGTGAAAATTGAACCAAAGTTCCTCTACAGTGCCTGTAGGAGGCGATGAGAGCGGCCTTGCGCACTACGCACTGGCAGGCCCATCAAGGAGCCGGACACTCCCGTAGGTCAAATTAGTAGAAGGCGATAATCGGACTGCTGCTTTATGACGTGTAACAGTCTAGAGCTTTTGTGATGCCACTAGTGAGTTATATTTCCCGCACGTTTTTTTTTTTTTGCCATCAATGATTAAGTGCTTTATGCTGATTGTCAATCCTATTACGATATGAAACCAGAAGAAACGGCCATTCACGGATTGACTAATAGCATCTGCTGGATCGTTGAAATGCTGGATTAATGGCGTCGTTCTGTTGGGTAAGAGGCCCGATCCATTGTCGCTTATGGACCGTGTATGGGCACGGGAAATCAGAGATTATTCACTTTGATCTCACTTCTTCGGTGTATAGATCTCACACAACGGCCTCGAGGTATTTAGGCTGCTGATATATAAATCCGGGCCATTCTGGCTTTTGAACTATTCACTTTACCATGGATGGTTTTCAATTCATTATCGAGTCCCCTCAAGAGACCCAAGGTCACAAGAAACGCCCGCGTCTTGTGACTTCTTGTGATAACTGGTACTGCCACTAAAACCCTCTGTCAAATAATTCATACTCATTCATCACCTAGCCGCCTCAAGAAAATCAAGTGTCTGCAGTCATCTCCCGAGACACAATGCGAGGCCTGCAAGTTAGCTAAAATTCCATGCAAGTTTCGCGATCGCGAACGATATTTTGCTGAGCGTAGTCGAGCTATTGCGGGCCCCAGTTCAGCGCCAACGTACCATGGATCATCAAATAAAGCAACCACTACGGCCCCAGAGTTTTCAGAGCGTTCCAACTCGAGTAGTACAAGCGAGCACGCCACCCCGGCATCGACCGCGCACACGTCACCATCGCAAGGATATGCCAATTCTGTCTCTCGCTCCCCGTCCTACTCGCCACCCGGAACAGCTTCCACAGATCACGGTCGCTATCAAACTTATCCAGATCATTCAAGGCCTCCTACAGCTCATAGGTGATATATTCATACGTATCAGATAACAACATCCATTGACATAGCCACGGAAGACATACAGCTGTAGCCGATGATCATGCTCGTCGATACGGAACTCCTGGTCCAGGTCAGGCATTGAGTCGTCCCCATCCCACGTCGAGCGGCTACCGGCCAACTCAGGTCTTTGACCCGATGCATCCTCAGATGCCACAACGCAGCTGGATGCCGCAATTCATCCAGATATTCATCAGTCAACTTGGCAGCCAATGCGCGTTCATGACTTATGATGACCTATATGAAAAATTTCGACACCAGACTCTATCCCCTTTGCTCTCCAACTGTATCGCAGCACTCGGCGCAAGGTATGTCTTCTGGAATGCACTCAACTTGTATATGAACGCGGTAAACAGGTTTTCTGACATACCGGACGTCGTCGCACGTGGTCCGCAGAATGTTGCAGATATTTTCTGTGAGAATGCCAAGGTTCGTGGCCGTGTGTGTGGGTTCTGCTGATCTAATGGAATGTGTAGGAGATGTTGTCCGCGGCACTTAACCAACCGTCTCTCGACGTTCTTCACGCTGTCATTACCCTGGCATGGACAGAATACAAAACTGGTCGGCTTCTTGGTGAGTACTGGGAATGTTTCCCTTGTTCCTCGGCTAAGTATTGTGTCTTAGGATTCCGACAATACGGCGATGTAAGTGAAATCGGAATCCTTGGCTAATCTATTTCTGATCAACGATCAGCTTGCCATGAGAACTGCGATAGCTATAGGATTGTCTGAAGAATCCACCAGGCAAATGAGCCCTTATGACAGTTACCAAAATCGTCTTCGTCTGACATGGCAAAGTGTCTCCCAATTGTACGCCTCATCAGCTTGTGAGTTCTCAGGCTTCTTGTGTTCTAAACCACCCTCATCATGACAAAGTATCGGGATAATTCCAATGGTCAACCAATTTTTACACCCGCTGCAGTGGCCAAACCAAAATTTTGCTTTGTCATTAAGGTTAAACTCTTATGCTCCTCTTTCCCTGGTTAATACTTTGGGAAGACAGTTTGGTTTCTCGTTCCACCTGGAGACCGCTGGCAGGCTTCCTTCGTTGACCATATGTTTCGTGCCGCCTCTATTTATCCACTTGACATATAGATTAAACTCACATCAATAATACCACCAGACTGCATGTTACATTGATTACAATCATATCCTGTATACACAGAACTTCCAGAATCGAAGCAATGTGCGAGAACTTCAGCTCCACGAGCTTACACCATTGTCAGTTAACCTGTGCATGCTGCGGCACATCACCATGGGAAGGTCGATCATCATCATCACCATCATGCTCAAGATCGGCAGTCGGTTTGCTCCGCCGATCAGGCGCTCCTGCGCTCCCCAGCCCCGTAGTTCGCGCATCGAGTTGCCTTCTTACTTGCAAGTTGGCCGGCGGCCGAGTTGAGCCGATGGTTTGAAACAACACTGCGTCTGACTCAGACGTTGTGAGCTAACTTTGTAATTATCTGATACGATCACGAAGAAAACATGACAAGAAAACGGTCAAATGATGCGCTCAAGGCTCGTGCTCATTAATAACATCGTGCATTGACGCTGAATAAGAAATTCCCGACTTCCGAGGACTTTCTTCCACGACCTGTTCGGAATGGGAAGTGTTCTATTTTTTTTTTTGTCTTTCAATTGAAAACCTGTAAGTCGGGACCGTGACGATATGCTGTGTTGGAACAGCTGACTTCCTTCTATCATATGGTCTGATCATGGCTGCGAGACTAAGCAGGGCTTCTTACCTCACGTACCATAGCACCCGTTGGCAGCCGGCTACTTCGAGAGTCCGGGGTTCGGTGACTGTTAGCGCCAATGCGTACAATATCAGAAACTGTCTAGTTTATGTTCCGACGGCTTTTGTCAAGAATGGAATGGAAGTGCAAAAACGATTGCAACTGGAACAAGGTTCCGACGTTCCGAACTGCTGCGCTCGAGGGACAAATCGACAAGTCCATGATTCGCGGGTAGATATGCCGGCGGCGCCAGAGTTACTAATTTGTGACATTAAAGTCTTAGTCTTGCACTGCACAATAGAACGGGCTCAATTATTACGAAGGTATGAAGTATCCCGGAATCAGCGCAGCCCTGTGCCCTGGAGGCTGGGTATATAGTTTTCTTGCAAGTAGTCCCGCGTTTCAATGCAAAGGGTCGATGCAGGCCAATCCGATTTAGGCACGGTGGGTTTCTCGGTGAAGTTAGTCGCGTAAGACCGTGATGCATACTGTGTGTCTTTTATAATTTTAAGCTTGATCATCCCCGCCGACCGGCAAACTTCGAGCGGTCAGGGGTTGATTTTATGTGTAGTTTCGCGGCAAGCTCCTCAACCCTGTAAGAAAGGAGCATTCTGAGCGCTGGAGCATAATGGTTTAACAGGGCTCAAAGTTTAACCTTGTGCCTCGCTGCGATAAGATGGTCGCGAACTGTAAGTGTTGCTACAGTCCATATGTAGTAGTCAACATTTGGCGTGAGTCGTGGACTTCAAGGCATCCTAAATCTGTGAGATCAACTCTCCACATGCTCTTGTTACCACTGATTGGGACCAGGGAGGTTGCATCAATATCCATTAGATGCAGCCCGCGGGGTGGACTTATATTCAGGAAACCGAATTCACCGTCATGAGATCCGGACATGATGGGACGCAGAACAACCGATGATTGACAGACGAGCGAAAATTAAATTTACTGGTGTGAAATTTCTTCAAGTTCTCGAAAGATGTGACTGACTCACACTACGGTGGAGAAAGGGTATCTCATACATTTATCGTCCGGTCAGTAGAAAATGCACCATAATTGCCTACCGTGCGATTCCTACGCAAATACTTACCCACCCATCTGCGCCCGCCATACAAGCCCCTAACCATGCCATCTCCGCATCAGGAGGTACCAGCACACCATGCATCATAGCATAAGCGAGTTCTGGGCCAGAATACGGCGCAGGTGGAAAGAGGAGGGGAAGATGCGTAGATAGATAATGCACTAGGGTATGTGCCGAGCCTATTGAGTAACTCGATCAGTTCTAACAATCCTTCACCAGCAGTCCTTTTGAATAAAAACGCACCGTCTTCAAGGGTCGGGGGGACAACGTCTTGCATCACGGGTCCGTCAGGTAAATATAACCTAACTGGGACACTGCGAACGTTATAAGCGTTATCACGATCCGGTGCACTCTGCGGGTCTACAGATGGTGGCCTTGCATGCATTGATGGATTCGTGGAAGGTGGTGGAGAGCCCGACCGCGCAGGTGCGGTTGTAGGCACTATCTTAGATGCGACGCGCCAATAGTCATCGAAGTTATCTAGAAATGACGAACATACTGAATCGCAAATACAGAAAATTAAACGGATGACTTACGTTCTTTGATGCCTTCCCAGATACCATCCTGGTCTTGCTTCCGAAGTCCCGTCATGCGCTTCGTGTTTCCCCATCTTATGAAGTCTGCCTCCTTGAGCTGCCCCATAAATGCTTGTTTGCAAGATTCGGCAGAAGGCGAGAGAAGAAGCTTCTCTGTGGGAGGTGATGCAAGGTGGAGAATGAGCTTCAAGGGAGTCACTTGCAGATTGTAGTGAGATGTGGAAGTCTGAGACGGTGGCCGAATTGAAGCAGAGATGGTGTGATTATCGTAGATCAGCCCTATCGGCCAGTGCCTACCAGAATATCATGTTCAGGATGCATCGTGTACCACGTACAAGGGTCTGAAACTAACCACTTCAACAGCGTACCTTCCTCGCTCTCGAACCACCATTCTTCCTCCTTGAGCATCTTTCCAGCTGCCTCGTCGAATACGACATCCATCAAGAATCGTCGTATCTCAGGCATAAGAAGAGGCAAGTAACTGACACGAGGAGCTTGAATATAATAACATTCCAGGCCGCGATCGGAATTTGCTGGTAACTCTTTTGAGTCTACACGAATTTCAAGGGGAACAGTGCCCTCCCATGTCAGGCGGCGAAAAAGAGTCGTTGATGCTGGAGTTGAGTTCGCAGACGGCTGACCGTGATGGCGCGTAGTACCGTAGGCAGACATCAGAACTCTGTCAAGATGGTAACTATTTGCAGGTAGTGCTCAAGAGAGAGTGCTATAGTAGACCAGCAGCAAGTTGACTAATTATGATGGCTCACGTGACTCGACGCGCCTGATACATTACCAATCTCAGAGAACTCAGAACTACATACAACACCAGCACACAAAATATGGTCCACGTCGTAAGTTAGTACCGTCGATGGGCTGGTTCAGGCTGGTGCTAATTCTCTCTATATCACTCAGGGAGACACATAAGTTTCTCAAGGCCCTTGGTTTCGAGACAAATACGCCAAGAAACGGGATGCATCCCTTGTTTCCCCGGTAACACTCCGAGTCAAGCTAATAGAGGTCAAGAGTACAAGTGATCGTAGTATTCCGGATGTCTTTGGAAAATCACAACCGAATATACCGACCTATGGCTCCATCCGCGCCAATCATGAATGAACCATTCTTTCAATCATACCGTTGCCTGATCTATTCTCCGAGTCCGTGTGTATTCCTCATCCTGCTCGAAGAAGCGAAGATCTACCAGGGTCGCAGATTCAGGAGACTTCCTACTTATCATAAACAATCGGGTGTTTCTGCCGCCACAATCGTCTTGTACTATTGTCTTGACAGATCCATTCAACAGCGGAGGGAAGACGGACGCTTTTTGGGCTTGGCGCACGATTCCATGATAGAGCGCCACAAGGGCTGTGAATGTACGAAAACGGAGATCCCTTTCGACTGCCTGGGAGGTGAAGGATAACTATTAGCCCCCAATATTGACCACCCTCGGCGCGATCAGGACTGCAGCCTCCAGGGCGTCATGAGAGTTTACGATGACTCCAAAAACTCCGATAATTCAAGGCTTCCCAGCTTGCCGCCAAAGAGTGCCTCGGACCGGCGTCGCCACATGAAATCAATTATCGTGGTGATGTTACCGTCGAGTAGGAGATGGTACAGACATTGGTCAAACAGAAGAACATTCAGAAAGGCAGCTGGCATCAGTGTATCACGAGCAGTTATTTCTGGATCGGTGTCATATTTTGAGTTCGATGTTCCATATCATATCAATCTTGAGCGATCATGAACGATTCATCACTGAGAACCTAGACTTCGGACTTCCAGCTCAATTGGGAGCGTATTCTGCAAAAGCATCTGTAGTAGGCTACATAAAGCAACCCTGGACCTTGAGTAGCGCATCCTTGCATCGCAAATGTTGCAATGGCATGTAGTTCAGATATACACGTATTTACATGAATTAGACGTACGTGTAAATCAAACTGTCCATCATGAATCATATACTATATACTGACAAGCGGTGAGTTTAACCTGGCTCTGACCTCCTCTAATAATGTTCCGACCGCGGAAATAACGTTCTCAGGCTCCGAATATTTTCTCAGGACATCTAGCACCCAGTCTATTCGCTCGTGAAGCGTCTCAAGTGCAAATCTGTCCAGCGGGATATATTCAAGCGTTAACTCTGCAAGGTCCGGCAATATTTCCACACACTCATCGTCACCTGAGAGATACACGCTAGGGAACGCATCCCATGCGCCAGGGACAAGTGGCGATAATTTCGCCCTTGAGAACATATCATGGGGTGGAAGTTCCAAGACCTTTGAGATAGCCGTGATCCGCAGGAAGATACCGAAAAGATAGAATGCGTGAGGGTTGCTGTCCGCGGCTTCGGCCATCAGAGTGATGCACCTGTTTATGTGGTCGTCTAGGGAAAGGCGACTGCACCACACAGAATTCTTCACAAGGGCAAAGAGGAGTTTCAAGTAACATCCATCACGTCCTTCATCGAATAAGACACCATGACTACCTTCCACACCAGCATCTTCACTAGGGGAGATAGCGGTGAGGATGGCGGGGGAAAGCGCAAGTAGTTTCTCCCGTAAATGAGCATAGCCATCTGTATCTTCTATGGCGGCCAGCAGTGTGCTTCGCGTTTCGTACGTAGCACGCAAAGCAGCATAACGCAACCGGGCAGGCTGCTCTGGTCCCATAGACCACAAGAGAACGTCCAGATAAGTTGCCTCTTTTGCTCGACTTCCAAGACTTTTCATAGCACTAAGTGCCAGGAACGCATCCGCAAGAGTATCCTCCACCTCATAACCCTCGAGCTCGCGCAGTTCGCAAATATAATCAATAAGCCACTCAAACTCATGGGAAGAACGAGTATCATGCGCCCAGGTAAATTCCCCATACCAATATAGGAAGGAGTCGTTTGGCTGGTAGACATCTCCGAGAGGTCCTTGAGGGATACATATAGCTGTGTGCAACGCAGCTCCTGCTTCGAACATGCGTCTCTGCACATCTTCTGAGTCCTCGGTTTTGTTGTCAGATATCGTGGAGCATCCGAGGAAGATTTCTTTGCAGCATGCAAGGCCCGCTCGGAAAAACGAGCCGTCAAGAGGAACCGCGCCTGTCAGCTCAATGATGCGAAGGGCATGTGGGAGACATTTCTTGGCTCTGGAAGCATAGTGTTGTGGATGTGCTCCATCAATGCAGCCTTGTAGACAGGCGAGGAGTTTAGTGACAAGAACATCGATAGCAGCACTTTGGTCGCGGTCAGATAGACGACCTAACAAGAACAAAACAATTGCCATGCCTTTTGTCCACCTTCACGAGCACCGTTTTGTCGACATTTAGCCCAAGCAAGATACCAGCAAGAAGTGTACAATTGGCGAGTACCTGAGATGACGGGGCTTTGTTCGGTATCTTGGCTTCAAGGAGCATCGAGATGATGCTCAATGCCAAATCCTCCATCTGCGCGAGCTCGTCGATGTCTTTATGAAGGAGGAAAACATATGGAAGGACTTGAGAGAGCCACAACAAGGTAGCATCAGACGCTGAAGAGAATGTTGGTGTATCCCGGAAGAATCGATAGGTATAATCAGCTATCCACTTCTGCCCAAGGTTGATCTTCAACGCATAATCAGCATCGAGCGATTCCCGGCTGAGAAGGTGCCAGAAGTGAAGATATCTAGGCTGAGAAGGGCATTGCGCAGCAGAATAATACTCCCCGTCCAGTCGAAGGTATTCCCTTCCACTGAGATGGACTAGGGCTGTCGCGCAAGCTAAAGCTCGTTCTTTTGCTGGCGCTAACAGCCGATCCTTAGTATCGAAACAGCTTCCAAGCACGCGATGCAGGAGAGAGATTATAGCGGAAACATCAAAATCGAATGGCCATTCAATTTCGGGAACCAGCTGGCAAGCTGCAATGAATACGTTGGGATCTGTAGACGTTTCGAGCAACCATTTTACGGAAGGAGCATCCGAAGATGCGACGGAAATGGCTGGAAATTCGTAGGACAGAGAAATTACGGGAAGGTATGACTCCGTTGCTTTAGAGGGAAGTTTGCCAAACTCGAGATCGCATATCACGGGCGCACGGGACTGTGCAGATAGACTGGATCGCAGAGCTCGGATGGAACGCAAAAAAGAACTGGTAACCGTTCGATGAAGAGCAGAGAGTATGCTTCTAGCACTAGAGAGTCCCGTGAGAAACGACTTTCCGAGCGCCACGCCTAATCCAATGTATCGCGCAACATATCGCAAATGGTATAGATCGTATAACTGAACCACGCGAATTTGTATGAGTTGCCAAGCAAGCCTAATGACGATAGACATAGGCGTTTGAAAGGGACAATCCGAGGACATGAGGGATGTGAAGACGGTGAATCCGTAAAGCGTAACGCCAAACAATGTGATGGAGATGATGACACACGCTATTGTCTGTTGCTGAGACCACACGTTGATACTGAGGGAGGCGCCGAAAAGGAACAACGAAACCTGCAACAACGCCGGGAATGATTGAACCACGGCATCAAAGTACCACGTCCTTAGTGCTTCCATCTTCTGTTGCCGTCTCCTTCCACGTTCCTCTATTGAACCATGACCGTATCTGTTGGACTTGTAATGGCCTAACCACTGTTTGCCCAGGATGGCACCAAATGCAGCAAAGAGGCTAAGTAAAAGACTGGCGTAGGCCAGGCTTTGAGCCCAAACATTACTAGACGAGTACCCTGCTGGTTGCGGAAGCGTGATACTCTGGGGTGTCGAAGTACCATTTGCCACAAGTAATACGAGTTGGGTCAGCAGTGCGTTGGTGGCGTCTCCTGGATTATTCTGTGACGCAATTATGAAGGAGGTGGTGACAGCTGAAAAGAGACCCGCCTGCGAGATTTCATTGGGATGATTCGCAAACTGTTCTGAGGAAGGAACGCACGAAAGTGGGGATAATATCGATATCACCATTGTACCGTTCCAGGAACTCGCTGTCGACCTCCTCTGCTACCACCTCATATGTTTCCCAGAACTGTAATCGGACGTCCTTGTCTGCTTTCTCTAGTTCTGAGCGCTTAAGGAGGTCGAGAATCTCGTTTTGCTTTTGGAGAAGACTGTATTGGGAGATATTCAGTTTGTAACGGCTGACGAAGTTTGATGGTCCACTGAGCTACTCACGAGCTAAGGACCTCCGACTGCTTATCGTGTTCCATGACACCAGACGAGGTGCTCGTTCGGTGATAACCCTGACTGACATCGCCAAGGCATCATTGGAGTCTAAAATTTCCATAGTAATCAGGGACGACATATCTATATCAGCACTCAGCAGAAAGATAAATAATAACTGTCACCTGTGGAATGTGGCATATAAGAGCGCACGAGGGCGTCGATGTTCGATGGCTACTGCTTGGTAGATCACTCCAGAGGAGAAATGTTGACCTGGATTACCTACTTACAGCTATACATCCCAGCCCTTTCCCAGTAGAGTATTATGAACAAGTTAGTCACGTCTTACCGTGAGGTGTGAACTCGGCTACTTTCAACAGTGACCCGGCCCGTTTGACGCCATATTCGGAGGCCCGGAGCTTCCTCACAGTTGTCTCCTCTGATCCACAATGTCGTTCGTCGCACTCTCCCGCTCAACATTCCGCCATGTAAGCAGCAGCGCTCGTTTCTTCTCCACAAGCTTGCGTGCCCAGCGCGAATACGCAAATGTTCTCGTCTCACGGCCTAGCCCAGGCGTGGCACTCATCACCCTAAACAGACCTAAGGCACTTAATGCACTCAATGCAGCGCACTTCCAAGACATATCTGATGCGATGAAGGAGGCTGATGAGGATGCCAGTGTGGGTGCTATGGTTCTCACTGGGTCAGAACGCGCGTTTGCGGGTGTGTTTCTCAGTCAACCGGATCTTGGACTCGATTAGACTTGTTTATGCACAGCTGGCGCGGACATCAAGGAAATGAAGGACAAGTCCTGTGAATATCTCTCCTCAGTTCTTGAAACCTTTCTGACAAACTTCCCTGAAGTCGCAGAAGCTTACACCACAAACTTCCTCGCTGATTGGGAAGTCATCACAAAACTTAACAAGCCGGTTATTGCAGCCGTCAGTGGTTACGCCGTATGTTTTTTAGACTCAATTTTTAATCGTCACGTTTTCATTCGGGTTCTTTCCTTCAGCTCGGTGGTGGCTTGGAGCTTGCATTGCAGGCTGATATTCTTCTCGCAGCGCCTTCAGCACAACTTGGACAGCCAGAAGTCAATCTCGGAGTCATCCCTGGCGGCGGAGGAACCCAACGTCTCGCCCGTCTCATTGGGAAATCGCGCGCCATGGAACTCGTCCTCACCGGACGTATAATAGGTGCGGACGAGGCAGAACGCTGGGGCATCGTACGAGTTGTACGTGAGGGCAATGTCGTTGATGAAGCCGTAAAGGTGGCGAGCGAGATCGCAAGCAAAGGACGTATCGCAGTGGGTGCAGGCAAGGAGGCTGTGAATGCAGCATTTGAAATGAGCCTCGCTGAGGGACTGAGGTTTGAGAAGCGGTTATTCCATGCCTTGTTTTCAACCAAGGATCAGAAGGAGGGTGGGCATATTTTCTATGTTGCGACTTCATTTTACACTGATCCCTTTCAATCTTGCTAGGCATGACTGCTTTTTCTGAGAAACGAAAGGCAGAGTGGACGCACTCATAAGGGCGTTCTGTATATTACGAGGGCACCTCGTTCGTCAAGATCCCCGTGTTGTCCTGTGTTGACTTGCTTTGAGTCTATCATCTAGGTTTGAGTTTTTGACACCAGGGCCTAAGGTTACATCACTAGACTATTACAAACGAGGTTAGGCAATGATACTCTGATTCCTGATTGATCGGCCTCCAGCCAGATAACGATATCTCAGCGTTTATGTCTAGTCGTGCTAGTAACTTGTGATCAACAATGTGGCACGATTCGATCAACGGCGCGCGACAAGGTACTAGTGGTCCTCTAATTTTGCAACAACGAACTCAACTGACTACAATAGCTTCAATATCATGATATCCATCATTATGTGAACAGAAGCCATTCCTCTTACTGATACATGTTCTCTTCTATTCGCATGCTGCTGCGCTATCACAAACCCACCGAAATCGAAGGCGAACAATCAATCATAACGAGTGAACGAATGAGACTCAAACCTAACCTATCCATGTTCTAATGCCCTTTTATTGCAGAATAGAAGAGCGGGCTCTCCGAGTCGGTGTGCCTATTTTCATTTCAAAATCTTTGCCAATCGGCTCTTTACCTTACTTTCTCTTCCAGTATCTGTCGAAAGACATGATGATGCCAATTTATGGATCGTGGTCACTTGACGCGGGCCCACTCTTGAAGGATTTTTAGAGGACGAACAAAGGTTTGTGAGAAATGATAGAGAAGCGATTGGACTTGGAGTATATGTGTGCCTGAGCATAGGTCCATAAACTTTGGAACAAAAAACATATGACTACAATATTTCTATGGTCCTGATGTCCATCAAGTCTCCGACAGAAACTACGTCGTTGACCTGCCCAATGATATCACGATCCGTCGCAATCCTCTTGTATTCTCCACTGCGCTGCTGCGCTAGCAAAAATGCACTAAAAGGCTGCCCAAGGCGAACGAGCAACCGCAATGCTCGTGATTCTAGGTCAAACACCTCTTGTTTTGCAGGACAACCACCAGACGAGTCGTCCAACGGAGAAGAAGGCGGCGTGCAATAATCCTCCTCGTTCTCCGTATCGTCTCCATAGTCAGACGGGTCCATAAATCCAGGCGGTTCTACAAAGTCAGGTAGCTCCTGGAGAGAGACGATCCCAGGGACGGACAAGGACAAAATTTTGTTCAGTGGGCCTTGCCGGCCAGAATTGAACTATGGTCTCTGCGGTGGTGACAAGCAAGTCACAAAGCCCGTCTGCCTTCACTTCATACGTGAAATGATTTTCCGGGGCTGGACTATACACCCGTCTGACTTCACTGACATTGAATGCAATACAAGGCAGATGCAGTCTCTGTGCTGCGAAGCGAGAGGCGCTAGTGTTCCGAAGGAGGGTATAAAGGTTCGAAGCAAAATCAGCAGTCACCGTCTTTCGCAGCGAAGAAACCGATGACTGAATTTCATCTTCGGGTAAGGGTGGTAGTCTGCATGGTGGAGCTTCGTATGAAGTGATGGAGGCTGGTAGACAGCTATTGAACTCTGATGATTTTCCGACCCAATCGAGACCAGTGATGTCGCCCGACCGAGCCACGATCTCCTGCAGGAGCCGCCCGAGAGCCTTGTCCTGCTTCTCACCATAATCTACAGGCAGGCGGACGCCAAAGATGCCAAACAACGAGTATGCGATGTCTTCCTGACGTGTGGTAACGCGGGTTGACGCCCAATGAAGTTTTTCTCGGGCGTTATGCATGCTGGAACGGAAGGTTGGGACGACTGGTTGGTCTATGCCCGTCGCTTCCTTTAACTCCTGCATGATCGCGATTGAATCCTTGTGGTTGGGAGTGTGATCATCTTGATAAAGAGTCCAATCGTTCTGATAAAAGAGAATGACTTTGGAAGCGATGAATTCTTGAACCGTCCATCCGCGCGTGTTCCAAGCACTTTATGCCAGTGCGCCAGACTTTGACGAAGGTGGAACGTCAGACAAGTAGACAATCGTAAGCGCAGAGTGGTGATACCAGACGAACATGGAGTTAACCGATTCTTGGAGTTCGACGTTGTTGCTCTTATCGATGCAGCATGTATCGTTCCATGCCCATTTATACCCTGCATCGCGAGCAGTTTTGCAGAACGACCGCAGTTTCGTCATGCCGCCAATGGGATCCAACTCCGAGTCGTATGCGCTGATGCCCTCGATATCCTGAAGCAGAGGCTCCTTCCCTTCCCACCTGTGTGATAGCATGGCATATTGGAAGTACCTCTTCACCACTTCTTCGATGTGCTTCATGTGCAAGTCTCCATGCGTGATTGTTGATGACACAATCTCCTTGTACTCTGTGCTCATTTTGAAGGCGCTTATCTGCGTTTCTCGATCGCATAAAAGACCGGTGGTGGTGTCGAGTACACGCAACGGCGCATTGTTGAATTGAGCATCAATGACCCGTTGAATGACACCTTCTACTTCAGAGAGTTTCAGATACTGCTGGCGTAGCTCTGGGGAAAGAGTTAAACATGTTGACAAATGCGTTATCAGAGGCTTACTTCGCGTCTGAATGTCGGGTGCATTGTCCAATTTCGACAGCATCATTTGGAAGGCCTGAATGGCTTCATCATAGCGCTGTGCACCGTGAAGTGCTGCGTGCTTCAATTTATATCCATGATAAGACAAAGAGTCGATTTCGATGACCTATGAATCTCCACAATGAGCACTGGTTGTCGGATGATAGCTGCCATCGCACCTTCTGCGCATCGAGAAGGGCTTCCGTCCATAACATTTTGCTCAACTTCGCTTTACTGCGGTTTGCAAATACGGTATCAGATGCAGAATGCAAGTTGATTACCGCAGAGTATAGGTCAATAGCCGTGTCATAATCGCTCACAGCAAGGGCAGTATCTCCGTTAGCAACACAGAGAACGCTACATCGTTCCTTGAATTCTGAGTGAAATACGGGTGAGTATGAAAACTAGGTGAAATAAGTAAAAACTCACCATTGGACCAATTGAGGCAGCTGGCCTTTGCAGATTCGTCAACAGCGTACATCATGTATTTGTATGCCTCGAGGGCTTCATCGGGTTTACCTGCCAAGAGGAAAGCCTGGCACCGATTCTGGTGTGTAGTTAGTAACAAGGACTCGAGATCCCAGCCAAAGAGCTGGACAAAAACTCAGTTATGAAAAGCATCATGTATGCATCATCTTCACGCACCACGGTCAAGTCCTGGTATATAAAATGAATATATTTCGATGAGAAAGCAGTGGAGTTCACAGCGGCAGTGAAGTGATCAACAGCTTCGTCGTGACGCGCACCATTGAAGGCTTTCATTCCGAGCTGAACACGTAGATATTCCTAATGTGCGAGCAACAAAGATCAGCATCGATGACTAAAGATAGCTGCATGATACTTACCTCCACAACCAGACGCGCAAGAGGATCGGTATCCGAACAAGCGGTAGCGAGTTCTTTTATGAGCAGCATTGCTTCTTCATATTGACCTGCGCTGAAGATTGCGATTGCCTGAAATACAGAATGAAGCAGAGAGCATGCAGATCAAATTTAAGCTACCTTGATCAAGAGAAGCAATTGGTTGGTGGCTGAATCCTGGTTCGTGAACATGGATGCACCATCGAAAGCTATTCTTGCTTCCCGGATTTGGCCTTTTCCGCACAGGGAAATGCCTTTGGAAATATAGCCTGTCAACGAAGGATGGATGCTGATGGACTATGTCATGGATAATAGTTAGCCACTTGGATCGTGACGGGTCAGTCCATCTCACCATGATTGCATCCTCAAGGGCGTGATCCCAGGCGTGTTTCCGGGCCATAACGAATGACCGATTGGCATATGAAGTATAGTTGTTCGCATCGGTGTGGATCTCTTGAGTAAGTAGCTCTTCAGCGGTGAATAGGTCTCTAGTTACACATGCGTCGCGGGCTGTCGCTATAGCCAAAATCTGCACGAAGAATGCTCGAATTGTGTTATGAGAGTCAAGGATCGAAACTCGCCTTTGAATTAGTGTCGCTGGGTACTGTCCACTCTGACATCTTGTTGTCTTCACCTACGCTGAGGATGTGCTTGCCGTCCAACACATGTCAGGCTAAATATGTGCTGGAAGATAGCGACAGTTCGTCGATCTGAAAGCCGCCAGAGACAGATACTATTGTCACCAGATGCAAAAGCGATGAGGGTGCCAGCGGGATGAATGGCAATGGTGGTGATACCGTGGGTGTAGTCCAAGAGATGACTGACCTGCTGCCAGGTCAATGGATCCCACTCCCGTATGTGATTACCGTTTGCTGAAAGAAGGCGTGTGCTATCGGGCGTCCATGCCAGTGAGAGGGTGTGTTCTTTCAAAATGCGACGCGCTGCCTTGTGTCTGGATCATAAATGTGGATATTTGCGGATGTTGCGATGGCAAGAAGTTCGGCAGATGGCGAATGTCGAATGCAGTTAAGGTAAAGGCGACAATTGATTGGTTCTCCTTGCGTCTGCCATGTGTTGGTACACCAAAACTTCACAGTGTGGTCATATGAACCAGTGGCCAGCACCGTGCCGTCTGGAGAAAAATCCAAAGATATGATTGCATCGGAGTGGGCTTTGATAGGTTGAGTGATGGATTCGCCAATTTCACCGTGCCAGGCGATGAGCTCTCCATTTTCACCACCGCTTGCTATTATTTGCCCAGCTGACGATACCGCCAATGCCTGCACCCCACTGCTATGCCCTTCCATCTTCTTCAACACGGCATCAGTCTCCAAGTCCCACAGACCAAGTGTCTTGTCCTCCGAGCCCGTAATTATTCGTGGTTTATCGGGGAACACTGCGACTGCCCTTACGGTGTTCTCATGATTTTCAAAAGTTCGACGGAGTGTAGTGCTTGGAATGAGCTGCGACATTTTACTGGAGATGGTGTTGAGCACGGTTCATGCATTTGGTGTCCTTCTCTAAGTTGCAGAGGTGCGTGCATAGTATGTTACTTCATCACACTAAATTCCTTCTCGCTTCCATAGACGCCCAAGACACGAGGCAGTTCGCCATCACGATCCGTTCCGGCAAAAACGCTCCCTACTCCGACCCTACTCCGACTCATCCCCTAGCCTTTACAATATATCCTGTCTCATCCGACAGTGATAGTGCAATTTCTACTTCCTGGCCCTTGACGTTGGATGAAAGCTGATATCTACCTCATCATGTAACTCGTCCGAGAGCACGTAGCTCACTGCAATATCATCTACTCATCTCTTCTCCCGTCTCAAATTCGCTCCTAATGAAGGTATTTTCGTCTTTCAATACGTGGTTTATCCAAATCATGATTTTTAAAGCCGTCAGTCTTACTTCGAGCGCTCCGGCTCATTTTGCCGTCTTTCTACGCTCGACCTCTCACCTACGTACATGGGCTACGCTGGGCTCAGCCACAATGTATAAGAGCTCTCAACTCCTCTTTACTGCGCGTTGTTGCCAACAAAATGGACGTTCCAGGAAGACAACAGTGCGTAACTATCTGTTCTGTTAGGGGAGTCGTAGAGGCGGGTGAGTGCATTTTATTTCGTGATATGTTCATGACAACTGAATACATGGCCTGCGTTCAACGCGCATCACCAGGTAAAAGTAAAAGTGACTCCTTCTGCTGCATAGGTGCGTGTACTGTGCGTTTATTACCGATCAAATACATGAACCTCAGGCTGGGCCATTCACTGTCACAACGGCTTGCTGAGCTCGCTTTGCCCCCACTACTGTCGCAACGGTTGTTCAGAATAAAGAAATATTATCTTCACGATTGAGAAGTTCTAGTCAAAGGATCAAAAGCACAAGTTCCCGGCAATGCTCCGGAGAAAACACTACACTACTTCAAGTTTGCAAACCTCTTTACTTCCACGAGAAGGCAAGCACTTGCCGCAGTTATTCGCCACCCTCCACAGCGAGACTTCTCCTCTGGCTGAGGCACTGCTGTGAGACGGACGATCGCAAAATCTACCAGAACGCTCTCGGCACTCTTTTCCGGGACGGTCGATGCGAAAGACATGTCCCCAGCTTCCGAGTCAGGCTCGTGGTCTCCTTCTCCTTCTTCGTTGTCACCGGGGACTTGGGTGCCTACTGCAACATCCTCCTCTCCCTGGGCTGCCCTTTCTTCTACTTCTTCGAGAACATCACCATCATCTGCGCCTTCAAGTTGGCCATTATGCTTTACAATCCAAACTGGGAATTGAGGCCTTTGGTTACGGTTGTCTTCCATACCTGCCAGAACCTATGGTCTTTCATATGTAATACGGACGGCATACATCAAGGTGCCACAATTGAATTTGGCACAAGATCGAAGAGCGTCTGACACCATAGTAGAATTCCACGTTAGGGGAATTGAATGTGCGAGAGAACGCATATGACGTCTCCAAGCGAGCCTTTTGTGGCAGCGATTGATCACGGCCATTGCGAACTATGAGTATGTTAATATATGACATGCGGATTTCAATTTTTTGCGAAGAATATATCATTGAGAATATGTTATTCCGACGTCGTAGAAGCATTCACTATGAACGATAACAAAGTCTTTTGCAATTGACACCGAAGACAGAATAGGACAACAATGAATGAGCAAACACGAAAACGGTGATTCAAGTTGTGCACCAGTTGCCACTTGGCACTAGCCCAACGGGGCACAGGACCGCAAGTCAACTAGTCATGACCTGGTAGTAGAAGCATGCAGTGCCTCGTCACATGACACCCCACTTGGTTCAGGGTGTCATGTGACGAGGCACTGCATGCTTCTACTACCAGGTCATGACTAGGAGCTTGTTCGGTAATCCACGTTAGAGCAACTTTACTTCAATGCACAATTTTGATGTGGCGCAGGTGTGTCTGAGTTGTGAGCGGAGACTGAAAAGGATCAGTGCTGATCATCACAGGTATTACGAGTTGGTACAACATACCAGCCATGGATCCACAGGGACTCCTATCAGTAAATCAGCCACTATTCCCTAATCCCATTACCCCCCATGGGGGGCATCTCACTGCAGCTCATCTTCTTCAGCAAACTCAACCGGATACGGTGCACATCGCAAGAGCAGAAGTCCGCAAGCGCACTTTCCGTTACATTGCTCTCCTGATAAACATATTGCTTGCCGCTACTACACATCTACTCATACAACAGACCCCTGAGGATCCTGAGCCCTACCACACTTCGTCATTGACCAGTCAAGAATGGGTGATGGAATTAATTGTTGGCCACCCTGAACGCATACGCTGTGAGCTTGGGGTGCACGCTGAGGTCTTTGAGAGTTTGGTCAACGATCTTCGAAGCCTTGGCCATGCAGATTCATGCCACGTATCATTAGAGGAGCAGCTGGCAATATTCCTATATGCGTGTGTGACCGGATTATCTTTAAGACAGTCTCGCGGAACGATTCCAGCGGTCAAATGATACAGTCTCTCGGTTTGTAGTTTGCAAAACCTTGCTTGAACTTAGTACTAACCCCAAGTCACTCATATAACAGCTATTTCCGCAAGATGCTCTTTATTTTTTCGTCCCATCCATTCTACATAACACATGTCCGCCTTCCCACTGACAGCACACCTGTCTCAAGTGAAATTCGCGACAACCCAAAACACTGGCCTTACTTCAAAGATGCCATCGGAGCGATTGACGGCAGTCATATCCATGCATACCCTCCTTCACACAGCCGCCACCTCTATTACAATCGCAAAGGCTTCATCTCTCAAAATTGCCTTTTTGTGTGCGATTTTGACCTCAATTTTACATTCACACTGACCGGCTGGGAGGGATCAGCAACCGATGCTCGACTCTGGGATGTAGCTCGCAATGATGGCCTGAATATCCCACCTGGAAAATATCTTCTTGCTGATTCAGGGTTTCCCTCATGTAAAGAGCTCTTAGTCCCCTATCGTGGCATTCGCTATCACCTTGCTGAATGGGGCCGTGCTAGCACTAGGTAAACCTTCAGTTGTTTTTTTTTGCTCATCTGACATTATTTTTTAGACCTGTTAACAAAGAAGAGTTGTTCAACCTCCGTCATGCATCAGCTCGCAACATCATTGAACGAATTTTTGGTGTTGTGAAATGTCGTTTTCGCATCCTTCTCATATCCCCTGAATATAGCATTGACATTCAGGCACGGATTCCTACAGCGCTATGCGCTCTTCACAATTACATCTGCTCTCATGACCCAGATGAAGGTCCTTTGCCGCACATACCCGTTGTCAATGACAACCATCACGACACCTTCCCAGCACCTCCAGGACATGCCGACACCAATAACTCAGGTGCAGCACCCATTCATACCAACGCAAACAACCTTCGTGATCAGATTGCAATGCAAATGTGGGAGGATTATCAAAACTACTTGTATGAACGAGACTTGATGGATGTAGATCAGTTCTTGGAAAGTGATGAGGAGGCGGCTTCAGATGATGAACAGTATGCAGAGCTTGAAAATGATGCTGACAACGATGATGCTATTTGATACAGTAGTAGTACAACATTCTGCTACTACTACAAAAATGGAATATTGTGCTTGACTTGTTGAATGATAGACTGCAAAAAACCAATGCGAAGCTCCGGCGTGGTACTCAAATACACAGTGCATATTCTCGCATTCAGCAAGAACATGTTCAAGAGGACAATCTTCTCATCATGCGACAAGTCCTCTTCTGCTTGCATGCTGTCCAGCGCACGTCTTGTTTCATCCGCCACCCGAGAATCTTCAGTGACGGTCGATGTTGTAAGACCATCGGTCAGGCGATTAATGGAACCTTGCAGGTTCATCCATGCGGCGGCGCTGGCAGCATCTTTGCCCTTTCTGCCACCATTCCCACTGCTACGCTGACTTGTACCTGTTAACTTGAGCTTCTTGCTGTCGGATTCTGATGGTACCAGCTGCGAGACTGACTCAGACATGATGGATGCGGAAGGGGCAACTGATGTCATGTTGTCGAGCTGGCACTTTCCCAGGCTAGAGGTAGAAGAAGGAGGCGGCATGAGGGCGGGGATACTAGTACTGACATCATGAGTGATGTTGCTGGTGCTGGTGCTGGGACCTGGTACTGGTGCAGCATCATCAGTGATGTTACTGACACTGGGACCTGGCACTGGGACTTGAGTGCCGGTTGCAGCTGATGATGTGGGGTTGTATGAAGCAGATCCATGTGCAATGCTGTTAGTCGGTAGGATTTGGTCCATCTTGTTGTAGAACCTCCAACTGGTGTTCTTGAACGACTTCATGGACTTCCCAGAGCTGCTCTGTGGCAAGATAAATTCAGCTGAAATTAATACATAAATGTGATTACATACGTGAATAAATTCATTCCACACAGATTCAGCTGCCTCCCCCTGAATGCTAGCACCATGTTCACTATCCCAATGACACCCGGATCGGTTGCGATATTTCTCAATAGCATTGTAAGTAGATTTTAACTAAAATATTTGCATCAGCAATGGCTGGACTCAGAGTGGCACAAGAGACAACATACCCCTGCCCATTTAACCCTGCAATGTGATGCCATCTTTACTGGGCTACTTTTCTTCAACCCTGCGATCTTGAGGGCAGCTTCATTGTAGGTCGGTTCTTTGAAGTTGGTTCCAGCCAACTTTGATCGTTGTGTGATAAGATAGTCGAGGAGGGCATCAACCTCAGCATCCTCCCAGTGAGCCTTCTCCTTTGGTAAAGACATTTGTATCAGCTGGAGTTGGCTACAGATTATGAAAGTAGCGACTGCTACAAAGATCTGCTTTCTGCGCTGATCATATGCGCGATGGCTGATAACAGATTTCGTGGCCATGGTCGGAAGGGAAAGACATTCGATCTCCGACACCAGTGTTCGTCGTGCCACCTGTTCAATGCTGTGCATTGTCAAACTTTGCGCCCAACTTTCATTCAAACTCAGGTTACCGAACAAGCTCTTAGCTTCGTCACAGTGTCACATGTCCGACGAATCAATGCTATTTTGTGTGACCGTCACACAAAATTGAAGTCATCGATAAATTGTGACACATGGTAAAACATGACAAAAAATGGAAAATATTCCCAAAAATTCTTGTACAGTAGACTTGCTCATAATGCATGGACTTTTCAGGATCCCATCGATGTTCCGTATGTAATTGTATGTATATTGCATATTGCATAATGCATAGCCTTTGTATGACTTGTATGCATTATGAAGTACAAAATTGATAGGGTGGGACATAATGTAACATATAAAGGTATTGTTCTGCTTGTGTGGCATTGTTCCTTTGAACTATATATAGAAGCCAGTGAGCAATTGCAACAGTATCATACACAAAAATGTTCCTAAACTTAAAGTGTAAACCCCATGATAAGCCCATAGCATATCCCACACATCCACAGCAAGTTGCAGCTGACCAACTTTCATCCATTGAAGTTGACCTTATGCAATCAGTTAATGATCTCAAGGCATGCAATCACATTTTCGGTCAATTGCCAACTCTCGAGGAACTTTTTGACCCTACTGAGGAGAGAGAAGTGGGAGAATACTCTGCATAGTGATGTTCCGGCCCG